ATTTTATTGATTTTTTACAGAGAGGAAGGGAGAGAGATAAAGAGCTAGAAACATTGATGAGAGAGAATCATCGATCAGCTGTCTCCTGCACACCCCCTACTGGGGATGTGCCCGCAACCAAGGTACATGCCCCTGACCGGAATCCCTGGGACCCTTCAGTCCGCAGGCCGATGCTCTATCCACCGAGCCAAACCGGTTTCGGCTCCTTTCGCTTTCCATTCATTCTAGAGGCCGCGCCATTCCTTGGCCCGTGGCAACCTTCCGCCTTCAAAGCCAGCAGCGACTGCTTCTGTGGTCACCTCTCCTCCTCTCTCGCCGGCCCTCTGGCCTCCCTGTGATAGGGACCCAAGATCATCTCCTAGACACGGTCCTTACCTCAGCCACCTCTGCAGGGTCCCTTTGCCCAGTGAGGTGCCAGGGCTGAAGTCGCTGGGACTTTGGGGCCCTCGTTCAGTCGACTACAGGATGCCAGCTCCTCAAGGGCTGGGCCTTTGCAGGCTGTCCCGTCTGCAGGACCCCTTTCCTGCAGTTCCGCCGGATGAGCTGCTGCTCCCATCAGCACCTCGAAAACCGCCTCCTCTGGCCATTAGGGAGGACCTTCTCGAGGGCAGGGCTGCATCTCACCTTCCTCAGCGCCCCCAGCACCCAGCCCAGGCCTGGCCCGGAGGAGGCCGGAGGCCAGAAGCACGGGCTGACACTGGTCTTTCCTGACCAGCAGCAGGGGGCACTGTGGCCACAGCCTGGGCAGCTGCTGGAGAATGGCCAGAGGGCAGCCATTTTCAACCTTTTTCATTTCATGGCACACACAAACGAATTAGAAAAAGTCTGCAGCACACCAAAAAATATACTTCTGGCCCATCTGACAAAATACCCGCTTCACACCGGGCGGCTGTTATGTTGGCTGTTGTCATCTTTTTACTTGACAACCAGAGGTCAGTGCTCCTGACTAGTCAGGTATTTTGCATGTTTGAAAAATTCTTGTGTCATGTCAGTGTGCTACGGGGCACACCGGGTAAAAACGCTGCTCTGGGGTCCAGGGCAGGTCACAGCGGAGAGCTCCCTGGGCCAGCAGGAGGCAGAGCAGGACCCAGCAGCCCAGGCACCACTGGGACCCCAACCAAGGCCTTCTGCCAATCCTGCTGGGCAGTGTGGGTCCGGAGAGCCTGGGGCAGGGTCTCCTCACAGGCAGGGCCTGCACAACAGTGTCATCAGAGCACGGAGTCTCGGAGAGCCGTGGCTAAGACTGGGTCAGCCTCCAGGGGACTGAGGCACAAGCATGGACTGGCCCATGCAGCAGATCCTAGCCAGACACCCCACCCGAGGTGTGGCTTCGCCCCGGCATGCTGAAGGTGCGGGGTGTCCTTAGGGAGGCCCGGCCTGTCACACATCCCTCCTTTCTCCCCGAAGCCTCTCCCTGGGCCTGCGGTGGCCCTGCCTCCTACCCTCCCTGGTCCTTCCCCAGGCAAACAACAGCCGCAGTTCGAAGACTCACTCATGGCAGGTCACCAACTTGGCCTGGGCAGGTCCTGTTCCTGGGGTGGCACTGCATGCCTACACGTGACCCTCCAGATGCCTGAAAAATGACAGGCAGCCGTCAGCAGGGCAGACCCGACCCTCGACCCCCACTTGCAGGAAAGTCCTGGCTATCACTGCTGGGATGGCGTCATCGCCTCCTGAAGGGAGTGGGGCCTGGAGCTTAAGGGCAAGGACCCAGGGAGGAGTGGGGTGGCATCCGACACCCTCCCATCCCCATGGATGGGTGGCCCCCACTTCAGGGAGAGAGATCATGGGGCCCAGGAGCAGGACACACGCCAAGCTGGGAGGGGGCTGCTGTCCTGTCCTCAGAACCTGGACCACAGCGGTGGCGGCTTTGGGAGCCACAGTGGATGGGACTCTGGGGGCTCTCAGCCAGCAATGCAGGGGCTGGCCCAGGGCAGCAAGGCTCTCAGCAGTGGCCACAATGAGGGGGGGCATGGTCACATATAGAGGGCCCTTACTGGGCTGAGTAGTGTACCCAAAACTCAAGTCCACCCGGACCTCCGAACGTGGCCTGATGTGGAAGTTGGGTCTTTGCATATATGACCAGTGAAGAGGCGTTCAGGCTGGAGTGGCGATGGTGCCCCTGTAAGCAGAGGGAGACATGGACACAGGCACTGGCCTGGGGACAGCCGAGTGACCAAGGAATGCCACGGGTCCTGGCCGGTGACTCCGGAGCCCAGGAGAGAGGTGTGATGTGGGACTGACTTCCCGACCAGAGCCTGTGGAAGGAGCAGCCCCGAAGGCCCTGGGTTTTTTCATTTATTTTAGAGACAGGGAACGGGAGAAAGGTCAATTTGTTGTTCCCCTTATTTATGCATTGCTTGGCTGGTTTTCTGTTTGTTAATCCTCACGCGAAGGTATTTTCCCATTGATTTTTAGAGAGGGAGGGGTGGTGGTGGGGGGAGGCACACACAGAGAGAAACATTTATGTGAGAGAGACATATGGATTGCAGGGATTGAGCCTGCAGTCGAGATACGTGCCCTTGACTGGAATCGAACCCAGGAAGCTTCAGTCCTTGGGCTGACGCCTTATCCACTGGACCAAACCAGCCGGGGTAGCTGATTCCTATATGTGCCCTGACCAGGGATCGAACCTGAAATCTTGGGGTATTGGGACGATGCTCTGACCAACTGAGCTCCCTGCTAGGGTCTGAAGATTCTCTGGGTTTTAGATGCTTGGCCTGCAGACTGGGAGAATCCCTCTCTGCTGTCCTCAGCCCTGCTTGTGGTGCTGGTTACGTGCTGAGCAGCACCACGGAGCAGAGGGGCGGGGCCATCGGAGGACGGGTGGTTGGTGGGGGGGGGGGGTTAGGGGACGGGGAGCGGACAGACCCTCTGGGGTCCGGCGCTTGGCTGTAACACATTAGGGAGCAAGTACGCCCTCCAGGCAAGCTCCACAGGCTGGGAGGGGGTACCCACCTCCCCCCCACCCCCCCCCCCCCACACACACACAGAGGAAGGTGTGGGAGCCAAAAAAAGCAGAGAAGGGAGGCGCCATCTCAGCCCGGACCCTGGGAGGAAGCCCTGGGGCGGAGGAGCAGGGGTTCCGTCGCAGCTCTGGGCGGGCGGGCGGGCGTGCAGTGGCGGGAGAGGGGGAGCAGGGGCTCCAGGGACCCCGCCTGCAGAGCCCCCCACCTGGGCCGGGTGGCGGTCCCCGGCCTTCCTCCTCGGCCTGCTCAGGTGCTGCTGGCTCAGCCCCGCTCGCCCAGAGCGCTGCACAAGCAGGATGTCCTCTGGAGAAGGCTACTCCAGAAGTCAAAATAGCATGAAATTTAATTTTCCGCCTATTTGACAAGGCCCGGTGGGGGCCCCAATCAGCAGCGGAGATAAGGGTCCTCGGCCGGGTGTGAGCCAGCTGGGCGCGCAGCAAACACTCTACGGTCCCCGGGCAGGCCGAGGCTCCCCCTCGCTGGGCCCTGGTTGCCGGGCGCTAAAGCAAACGGATTCTATTTGCCCAGTCTGCGATGACAATGCAGTCCCCAAATATTTGCCAGCCTGGCCGGCAGCAGAGCCGGCTATAAATGCTTGAGCCCAGGTGGAGGCGGGCCTGCCCAGCAGAGTCGCAGGCCTCGCAGGTAAGAGCAGCGCCAGGCGGCGGGCGGGAGGCTGTGGGGTCTCCCTCCCGGGAAGGCTGTGGGCCCTTCTGACCAGGCAGTCTTCGGGGACCACCTACCCACCGGGAGGGGTCCCCAGCAGGGCTGCGCAAGGCCAGGCCATCTAGGCTGGGGCATGGGGGGAGAGGGCACTGTCCCAGCTCCCCCTGAGCAGCCGCCCCACAGCTGGAGCCACAGGATGCCCCCACGAAAGGGAAGAGGGACCCAGCACTAAAGGAGATTGGGAGCTCGGCACGGCCAGCGGCTGCAGGGAGGAGGCAGGCCCGAGCTCCTCAGGCCCGTCTGACTCCCGGTGATGCCTGTGGACTCACCGGCCCCTGGGCGGTGTGCTCTGACAATCCAGGAGCCCCTTCTCTCCCACCCCCCCCCCCCCCGCCCCCCATCACCTTCCCCTTCTTCCTTCCTTCTCTCCTGGTTCACTCATCAGCTTCCCAACTGCAGGGGGCAGACCCACAGCTCCCTGGGTGGGGGGCGGGGCTTTGGCATTCAGAACCAGCCCTGGCCCCCTGCTTGGCTGCAGGTCAAGGGGAGAGCCAGAGGCTCCCCTGACAGTCTCCTCCTCAAATCCCCGCCTCATCCGCCCAAGCCCCATCCGCCCAAGCCTCAGCCGAGAGAGGCCCACTGGCCTTTTCTGCCTCCTGCTGACCTGCCACACCGCAGAGCAGTCTCCAGACAGGGGACAAATGAAAGCCTGGCGCTGTGACCGCTCTTATTAGAATTAGATGGGACGGCAGAAATGGGGGTTGGGGAAGCCCCGAGGATGCCAAGCCCAGTTCCTGGCTCAGCGTGGGCATCTCAGGGATAGTGGGATGCTCCCGACCCAACACGCCTGTGAGGGGGCAAAGGGGTCCAGTGACCAGCACCTGGGCTGACACCACCTCCGTGATCCATAGCAACCCCATCCTGGGGCAAGGACTCTGCTCTCCAAGGCCCCAAACCCTGTCTCATCCCAGCCCCTGGGCGCCTGCTGCCCACCTCCCCTGCTTCTCTCTTCTGAGACTTCTCTCCCCAAGTCCGCTGCTCCATGGCACCACCCTGTCATCGACCCCCACCCTGCTGACCGCCCTTCAGGACGCACTGCTCACAGGACCTGACGTCCACAGGCTGCTGCTGCTCTAACCCCTCGGCCTGCACTCTGCTCCTGCCATGCTGCTGCCATGGTGCCCCCTCCCCCCCTCCCCCAAACCTCACCTATTGCTGAGCTCAGCACCCTCTCCAAGAGCGAGTGGCCATAGTGCCCTGTCCATGAGGGGCTGCAGGCCCTGGCTGGTAACCTGCCCCCTCTCCCCCCCCACCCCCCCAGGCGGCTGCTGCCCCGGAGGCCCCAGAAGCTCCAACGTGGAGGACATGGCCGCAGGCGTGATCCAGCCTCTCTGTGACTTCCAGCTGCCCCTGCCCTCCCTCCGGCCCTTCCTGCCTCCAGACCCGGAACCCCCGGACACTTCGGAGGAGGAGGAGGAGGAGGAGGAGGAGGGGGAGGAGGAGGGAGAGGAGGGGGAGGAGGAGGAGGGGGAGGAGGGGGAGGTAGGGGAGGAAGACGAAGAGGACCTGGAGGGGGACGGGCCAGGGGCCCACAGCCCAGCCCCCCACAGCTCAGGGTGGGCCACAGTTGCCCCGGAAGAGGCCTCTCCAGGTCCCAGCAGCCCCGAGATGCCCCTGCAGCTGCTGCGGTTCTCTGAGCTCATCAGCGGCGACATCCAGAGGTACTTTGGCCGAAAGGACGGGGGGCAGGACCCAGACGCCTGTGATGTCTACGCTGACGGCCACTCGGCCAGCAGCTCGGCCAGGGAGCTTTACTGCGCGGACCTGGTGCCCCTGGCCCAGGGCGGGTCCCCCAGCGATGACAGGGCGGCTGAGCCTGGGGCCCACTCCCCGAGGGGCCCCGAGGGGCGGGGGCGTGAGACCGGCGCCGGCGGAGAGAGGGCGCAGCGGCTGGGGCCGCTGGCCGAGCTGTTTGACTACGGGCTGCGGCAGTTCTCGGCGCCCCGGGCGTCGGCCAGCCAGCGGCTGCGGCTGGAGCAGAAGTACGGCCACATCAGACCCATGACGCAGAGGAGGCTGCCCCCCTCCTTCTGGAAGGAGCCGGCGCCCAGCCCCCTGGGCCTGCTGCACCCCGGGACTCCCGACTTCAGTGACCTGCTGGCGAGCTGGTCGGTGGACACCGGCCCGGAGCTGCCGGGCAGGGGCGCCCAGGCCCTGGAGGGCGTGCGACTGGCCGAGGCCTAGCGGAGTCCCCTTACGGCTGTCCTGGGGGACACTGGGGGGCCCTCGAAGATGGGAGGCCACCAGGAGGACACACCAGTTCAGGTGGGGACTTTCCAGGCCCAGGAAGAGGGTCAGGGATCATCCGGGGACCTGGCGCTGCCACCACCAGAGGCCACTAGGGCAGGAGTGGCAGGGGCTGAAGGCCCGGTACGGACCCGGCCATCCTGGCCTTCAGCCCTCGGAGCTCTGCCCGCGGGGAGGGAGGACAGGACAGCAGCTGTGGCCGCACTGAGGCTGTGGGCTCAAGGGGTCTAGACACTGCGCCCTACCAGCCCGGCCCCCGAAACTCCCAGGAAAACCCTCCCACTGCCAGCCACTGGCTGGTCCCAGGGGCCCCTCCTCCAGCCCCGAAGCAGGTGGCAGGGCCAGCTGCCCCGATGAGCCACGTTTCCTCGGAGAGGCGGGAGGAGGGCGCTGCTGCGGGCACGGACAGACACTGTTTGCTCCCTCGATGAGGCGGGAAGAGCCGCTTCTCTGCTGGGCAGGCACCTGGCAGGTGTGAGGGCCCGGCTGACAGGCTCAGATCCCGAGGCTGGGCTGACTGTGGGGCACCGAGCCGAGTGGCTGTGGATGCCCGGCTGCTGTGCCCCTTGGGGAAGGCCCGGAAGACGGCGGGGCTGGGCTCCGCTGGGCTCCGGCAGGAGAAGGGCATCCTGGGAGTCTGGGGACGGACAGGCTTCAAGGATGGAGCCTCTTGGTCACTCCCACCGCCTGGGCCTCCCGAGCCCCTGGAGGGAATGCCAGGCGCTGACAGATACAGGAGTGGCATGTTTATTTCTGGGAAAGGGGCAGGTCGGGGCGCTGGTGGGCAGGCTCCTGGCCAAGGGACCACTTCAAGACTGTCCGCGGCCTCCGCCTGGCGACCTGGTTCATGAGGACCGCCTTCCACTGCAGCCACCTGCCCGGAGACACGGCTCAGGCCCCACGGCCCTCGGGGCCTCCCCCGCCCGGAACCGAGACCCGGAGGCAGCTCCCGCGGCTCACCTCACGGCCTGATACACGCCCCAGCGGTTCACGGGGACCACCTCGCCGGAGGCCATGTTCTTGATGAACTGCCATCTCACCAGGGACTTGAGCCCCTTCCTGCTGTCCAGCGGCAGGGCCCGCGGGCCCTCCTCGCTCCTCGGCCCCCCCAGGCACTCCTTCCGTGTGGCCATCTCCTCCTTGCGCTGCGGACAGAGGCAAGGGCAGCCCGGCGGAGCTGAGGAATGGGGCTGAGGGGGGGTGCAGGCAGGATTATCTACCTCTGGGCAAACCAGGGCCTTATCTGCCTGGAAACGGTGCTCAGGCCACACATGCAGACAGACGGACGGATGGCAGGGGAGACTGCAGACAGAGGGCGGGCAGGCTGGGAGGGGCCGGGGGACTGGGAGTCGGGCTCTGCACAGAAAGCAGCCCACCCTCCTGGCCTGGGCCGCTTCTCACCGACTTGCTTTGCGAATTAAACTTGAGGTTCTGGATGGTCTTGTTGTCCTGGATGCTGTTTTCCAATTTCATTATTTGGTTCTGAAACTAAATACTGCCCCCCATTGGTGGACATGGAAGCACCCCGCTCCCACCCTCCCAGAGCGGGCACTGACCCCTGGAGGGGGTCTGGGGGCACCGCAGCGGGGTGCTGAGGTGGGACTCAGCCCGGGCTCAGGGCGCTCCTTTCACCGTGATTGCTGATGCGCCCCCCCCCATCCCCCCGACCGCCCGTGTTTGGGGCTCCAACAGGCCCCTCCACTGGGAATTCCCAAAGCCTAAGACATCTGTGACCTCCCTGAGGACCCTCCACAGGGGCGCCCCCCTCTTCTTAGCGGGACGGGCACGGGGGCCCGAGAGGGTACCGCGGCCAGCTTGCCCTGGATCTCGGCGATCTTCCGCCCCGAGTTGCCCTCCCTGAGCAGCTGCACGGAGGACAGCAGAGCAGCCAGCTTCTGCCGCACGGCCTCAACCTCGACCTCTCTGTGGGTACGGAGGCCAAGGCTGCCGGCTCGGGGGCGGGGAGCGCTCTAGGGTGAGGGGCAGGGTGAGGAGAGGGATACCCTGGGCAGAGGAAGGGGCGCTCTGCTCTGCCACGCCCCTCTAGTGGGGGTTGGAGTGACAGAGGGAAAGATTCGGGGATCCGTGCAGACTATCCCCAAGCCAGGGCTGGGGAGGGGTTAGGGTGCTGCGGTGCTGGGCGCTCAGGCAGGAGCACCCGAGAGAAGGCTGTGGGTGCAGCAGGCGGTTCTGAGGCAGCTGAGCCCTCCCGGCCACTCCCTGGCGGCCAGCCCGGTGGCGTTCACGCCCCTCCCGGGGGGGCGGGCCTGCCGGACGTGCTCACCTGGCCTTGCCCTCCGCGGAGATCTTGAGGTCGGAGTCACTCTTGTGCAGGACGCACCTGTCAGAGACAGCTTCTATCTGAAACGGAGCAGAGGCTGGGGTGGGCTGGCCACTAAGGGCGGGCACCGCAGGGGAGGGAGAGGGGCGGCCCCAGCCTCACCCACCTGCCGCGGCAGGCTGTCCACCGTCTCCCGCACCTCCCGCAGGTAAGCCTGGGCCTCCTTGTGACACCAGGCCAGGCCCTCCAGCGATCTCCGCTCGGCATCTTCCCACTCATTCTTTGCCTGGGACACAGACAGCCGGTGAGGCCGGAGCGTGGACAGGGAGGGTGGACAGACAGGCTGGGCACGCCTCTGACTCTGAGCTCATGCACACCGGCCTCGCACAGTCCAGCCAGGCCAGCCAGCACCCTCAGCCCTTCCCCACCCCTGCTGCCCACGGGGAGTCAGCAGGGATAGGGACAGAGAAAGGCAGTCTTCCCACACCGCAGGGCAGGCCAGGGGTGTACGTGTGCGCTCACAGCAGTGTCTCCGTGTCACCCAGAGGGGCAGCCGCCCAGTGCCCACCACGGACAGGCGGGTCAACAGCTGTGGTCCATCGTGTGGCGGAGGAGTACTCCGCCCCCAGAAGGACGAAATGCTACCACACGGATGGACTTAAAAAAGCCATCTCAGCGAGGGAAGCCAGACGCAGGCCACAGTGTGCGATTCCACGTCAGCGACGCGTCCAGAAAGGCGCATCCACAGACAGGAAGCCGAGGGTGGGGGCGAGGGCCCGGGGGAGGGGGTGGGAGTGGCTGCTAATGAGGGCAGAGCCTCCTAAGAGCGATTGTGGAGGTGATTGTCCAATGCTGACTATATGAAAAACACACTGAATTATACACTTTAAAGGGGGGGATTGTACGGTGTGTGGGTTAACCTTCAAAGAAGAGAAAAACAACCCAGAGGCAGATGCCGTGCTGGCCCCTCTGCGGAGCCCGCTGGATGGTCAGGCCTCTGGGGCCTCTGGACGGACGTCTCAGCAGCTGGCCCTGGGCTGCCTGCCCCAGCAGGAGGTCTCGGCCTTACAGGCAGTCACCGGGCACTCTTGGGACCTGCCGGTCAGGCCTCCACCCTCGGGAAGCCAGAGGGGCCCAGGACACCGGCCGGTTAGGCTGCCTTTCCCCCGGCAGCCTCACCTCACACAACTTCTGGGTCAGCGTCTGTTCCTGCAGGTCCAGCCTCCAGCTCAGGGCCAGGAAGTGGTCCTTCAGGTCGCCCACCTGTCTGACCAGCTCAGCCACGGATGCCTCCAAGGCCTGCCTCTTCTCTTGGAGCTGTGGGAGGTGGGGCCCAGTGTGGGTGCTGGGAGGCGGGGGATCCCACGAGGAGATGGGACCCAGCGCCTCAGCCCTCACCAGCTCCAGGGTGCTCTGTGTCTCCTGCTGCGCTTGCTCGCTGGCCAGCTGCATGGCTTCCATTTTCTCCTGAAAGTAGGCAGCCAGCTCCCCAGCCTGGTTTTCCTCCAAGTGGCCCTTGGTGTCCCTGGGGGGTGGGTGCCACTGAGAGAAACTGTCCCTCAGCTGAGGCTGGCCTGCCCCTCAGAGCTGGGCCAGGGACGGGAGCCTGGCTGCAGGCTCCAGAACCTTCCAAGAAGCTCACTGGAGCAGAGGATGGTAGTGCCATCACAGGGGCCACCAGAACAGGGCTGCGTCCATCGCTGCCACCCTGAGTCCCCTGTGAGGGGCAGGCTGAGGGTGCGTGGCTACTCTGCCAGGCACTCATCTGGGCCTGACTCTGGGATCAGGAAGCTGGGGTCCAGGGATTGAGGCCACTTCCACCCACCCAGCCTGACACCCCGCACGTTTTCTGCCCACTGCCCCGTTTGGGTACCCACCGGCCCTTCTGCTCGGCCAGCAGGACGCGGTTCAGCGACATCTGGTTCTGGCGCACAAACCTGGTCAGCTGGACCACGGCCCTGTCCAGGCCCCGGCACTGCTCCAGGAGGTAGCACTCCTCCTGCTGTAGTACCGAGGTGGCCTGAGGCCTGTGCCCCGCCAGGCGCCCCCCCCACCCCTACCCCACCTGTGCCCAGCCCCAGCTGCCCACCTTGCACTGCCCTCGCAGGGCTCGAAGGCGCTCCTCGGCCAGCTGCTGGAGCTCCCGCCACCTGCCTTCCAGCTCCCCCCGCAGGCTGCTCTCCACCTTCAGCCGTGTGTTCTCCGAGGCCTTCATCCTCTGCGAGAGACCCGTCCGCTGCCGTGAGCCGGGGGCGGGGGCCACGGCGGAGCCCCGCCAGCGGCCAGCTCCCACCTTCTCCAGGCCCAGGAAGCTCTTCTGCAGGAAGCCGCACAGCTTGGCCTCCCTCTTGAGGAAGCGGAGGCTCATCTCCTCCCCCAGCTTGGTCACCTGGGCCTGTGGAGGGAGCACATGGGCACCGTGCTGCCACCGTGCTGGGCGCCCTCTTCCACAGCTGCCCCCCACCCACCATGCCATCTCAGACTAATTTTCTTGCCCAACTATCTCCATCAGGGAGGCCCTGAGTCCCGGGTCCCTGGTTGTCCCTGAGCCAAGCGGGTCTGGGCCTGCCACGCCCTCCACAGGAAAAGAGGCAAGGATCCCCTGTCCTCCCGGAGGGCCGGCACAGGGCCGAGGGGTCTGCAGGCCAAGCTCGGGCACTCCTGGGTGCCCACAGGAGTGACGATCGGAAGAAGGCACAGCAGCTACCACCAAACCACACCCAGAGCTGGGAGGGAGCCTTAGGAAGAGAGGTCAAGTGCATGTGCTGGTGTGCCCCAGCCCTGGCCAGCTTCGCTGCCTGTGCAGGGTGGCCAGGAGCAGGGCTGGGCAAAGGATCTGTAAAGAGCCAGGGAGTAGATGTTTCGGGTTTATGGACAACAGAAACCTGAAGGGCAGGGTCTGTGCACAGCTCCTCAGCGCTGTGGTTCCAGCGCAGAAGCAGCTGTGGACAATAGTAAACGAATGGGGGTGGCCGTCTGCTGATAAAACTTTATTGACAAAACCAGGTATGGGCCATAGCTTGCAGACCCGGACTCTGGAGTGGGCTTAGGGAAGAGGCGGGCATCCCATCAGGTGGAGGTGCCTGTCGTGTTGGGAGTCCCCAGGCCCAATGCCACAGGAGCTCGTGGCCAGTGGGCAGCAAGCAGCCTGTGGAGGGAACGGAGCGGAGCGGGAGGGAAACGCTACGGAAGCTGAGCAGCCGAGCTATGTGGGCGGCAGCTGGGGCCGCCCTGGTGTGCGGCGCAGTCCCCGGTCTCTATTTGCAGAGCTGAAGAGGCTGCCCGTCCCCTGACCCACCTCCGAGCCCCCGCCCCCACCCCACCCGTAGCCCTCCCGCAGGAGGGGAAACTGGGGGTGCGTCTTCGGGAGGGTAACCTCTGCTCTGCCTGAGGGGAGCCCCGAGGTTGAAAATGGTTGAGGAAGGGGCTTCAGGCTTTGGGGTTCTGTTTCTTGGTTTGGGTGCTGGCTGCACAGGAAGGGGAGGAGGAGCAGTGGCTGATATGGTGCTGACGACACTTGCTGTAATGAAGGTGCAGCCCCATTTGCAGCCACTGCCTGCTGTGGTCGCTGAGCATTTGAAATTTGGTTCACGTGATGGAGGCACCGAGTTTTAAATTGTCTAGAATGGTAACTACTAATTTCGCCCTACATGGTTTGATTCAGTGGATAGAGTGTCAGCCTGTGGACTGAAGGGTCCGAGGTTCAATTCCGGTCAAGGGCATGTACCCCAGTTGCAGGCTCCTGGCCCTGGTAGCGGACATGTGGGAGGCAAATGTGTCTCTCTCACATCAGTGTTTCCCTCTCCCTCTCCCTCCCCACCTCTCCTCCTTTTCACTCTCTGTAAAAATCAACAGGAAAAAAATATCCTGAGGAAAAAAAATGCGTGAGGATTAAAAAAAAAAAAAAAGTTAGCTAATTTCAATACACAGGGCCACCTGTGGCTAGTGGCCACTGTATTCCACAGCACAGGCCTTGGGGTCACCCTCCAAGTCTGACCACGTGGAGGGATCTAAAAAGATAGCTGGAGGAGGGAGAACCTGTGAGGGGAAGGGCACAGGCTGGGCTGGGAGTGGAGAAGGTCCTCCAGAAGGACCTTCTCTCTGGCAGCCCAGCTGCCAGCCCGCCCTGCCTGGTACCTGCAGCCTGGCCACCTCCTGGTCCACCCTTTGGCTGGCCTCCTCCTGGCTCTTCTGCAGGGCACTGCAGGCCACCTCCCGGTTCTGCTCCTCCTGATCCAGCTTCCTGGCCAATTTGGTTAACCTGGGGACACAGACCAAAGGTCATAGCAGCCCGGCCAGCCAGAGGGGCGAGCTGGGGAGCCACAGGGAGGCTGGCACTGGGGGCCATTCTCAGGCCAAAGCTGCTCTGGGGGCCCTAGGCTGACCTGAGGCCCTTGGAGCAGGAGGTGCATAGCTCGCCTGCGTGAACACAAAGAGGGGGCAAGACGCTGGTGTCTCTACCCTCCCTTACCTCCTCCTCCCCCCCGCATGGTGAGAGCTGGGCCCTGGTTGGGACCAATGGGAAAGGAGATGGTTGGAGCCTCAAGTTCAAGTCCCTTTTTCCCCACAGAAGATCCACAAGGTGTCTGAGGCTCCCTGTCAACCGCAGCTTGGCACCGAGGGTACGTGAACACCTGCCCTGCCTCGGTGACACCCACATGGCCACACATAGCATGTCCAGAACCAGCCCCTGGGGCGGGAGGCGAGAGGTGCCCACCTGAGGTTGGCCTCCTGCTTGGTGCCCTTCCGCTCAGAGTCCTGGAGTTCCTGCTTCCTCCTGATCTGGGTCAGAGCCTCCCGGACCTCCACCAACCTGGCACACAAGAGCCGCTTCTGCCCGGGGCCTGTCCAGCTACCCTCCTGGCGGCCAGGAGAAGCCCAGAGCAGGCTGGGCAGCCTTCAGGGGCTGGGAGCTTAGCCAAGGGCCCCCAGCAGCAAGCCTCCCACCCCTTTGCCAGGCCTTTAGGGGAGCACCATGGTTGAAAACACACAAACCCAGACTGTTTGAGTTCTGTCATGGGCGTGTCCTGCTTACCGGGGCAAGACAACTAATTGGGAAAACAAAACCCTGTGGCTGATGCTCTAAGGGGTCCGGCACCAGCCACTGCTCTCCCCAACCCCTCCCCTCCTGCTGAGTCCTGCACCACAAGCGCGGGGATACCTCTTGTCCAGGACCTGCATCTTGTTCTGGTTCTGGGGGCTGGGGAACTGCAAGGAGGAGGGTGTGGGCTGAGTGCAGGCCTGGGCCCTCGCAGCCAGACCAGCACAGACACAGCCTATGGGATTCTCTGGGCTCCCAGCCGGGGCAGCAGCAATGAGCGGGGCTCAGGGTCCAGGAAGCAGCTGCCCAACACCTGGGAATGGGGGAGCCTGGCCTGTGGGGCGGGGGGGTGAGCTGTCTCCCAGCCGGCGGGTGTCTCACCTCCAGGGCCTCCTTCTCAGGGCCCCATACTGCCTGGTGTAACTCCTGCTTCAGCTTCTTCAGCTCCGAGTCTTGCAGCTGCACGATGACCTGCACCTGGCGCAGCTCTTGCAGCAGGCTCAACGTGGCACGCTCATAGTAGTCCTTGTGTCTCCGCAGGGACACCACCTCGGCCTGCAGGTCGGCCACCCTGGCCAGGATGAGGAGCAGGCCGAGTCAGCACACATGCCTTGGGGCTGATGTGTGGCTCTCCCGCTCCGCCCCCAGGGGGCTCACCATTGCTCCAGGTGCTTCCAGCGCTTGGGGGTGTCCTGCTCTGGGATGGAAGTGGTGGACTCCAGGCAGCTGGGCTCATACCTCTCTGAGATCTCCTTCAGACTCAGGAGCTCCAGCCCTTCCTCCAGGAGGAGCCCCAGGTCCTCCAGGGTGGTAGTGCTTAGCTGAGAGGGGGGCGAAGCCCCGGACGAGGAGTTGCAATCAGCCAGCTCTGCAAGAAGGTACCTCCAAGCTTGCCACTTGGCCTTCTGGACTGACAAGGGGTGCTGGTTCCTAGATGGAGCTTAGGGCAACAGGGGCTCAGAATCAGTGCAACTGTCACGGAGTGTGCCTGGGGCTCCTTCTGCCGAGTCGCACAGCCCAGCCCAGCCAGAGAGGGTTCGGCTCTCATTGCTCAACAGGAAGCTCGGACTCAGAGGTGCACTCCCTGCCTGAGGACACAGCACTGGGCAGCCGAAGTGGAACGATGTCCTGCCTGGCCAGGCCAGAGGGAGCTACCTGGAGATCACACCCCTATGCAGGCTCCTCCCTGGTCTATCTTCCTGGCTCTGCCCCAGTTGGCACCCGGTTCACTTGACCCAGCTTCATCAGCAGCCACTGCTTTTGGCTTTGGCCACTGCCAAGAGGCCCTGGCTTAGCACCCTGTGGCCACCCAGAGCTGGAACCAGGGTGGTTGCAGAGGGAGAAAGGGAGTGCCTGGGGGAGGCAGGGAAGTCAGCCCTGGGCCTTGGAGGACCACATGGGCTGTGAAGGGGGACCACATGAGCTCCAGTCCTAATAGCTCACCTCCTTCCAAGACACCACCAAGGAAGGCAGGGCAGCGAGGGCTCTTCTGGAACCTTCTTGTCCTCACCAGAACGTCGTGATTTTCAGGCCCAACTGCCAATGGAACCCGAGCCATCAACTCTCCTGTTCCCGCAAAGCCTCCCAACTGCCTGTTTCTGGAAGGATCCACGGTGGTATAGAGGTCAGGGCAGGAGACCTCTTTGGTCTGGGCAGGAGCCATGCCAAGGAGCAACTGCTGGCTCCATGGTCGTTAAACCAGAGCAGGAAGGCTGGGACCTGACGGACTGAATGCAGCCAGTCCTGCAGCCAAGAAAACAGACCCTGACGGGCTATCAAAGGGAACAGCATGTTGGCATAAGTGGGCACCAGGACATTAACTTTCTTAGCAGCCACAGTAAGTAGCCAGGTGGAGCCTGGCTGGCATGGCTCAGTGGTTGAGCATCTATCTATGAACCAGGTCACGGTTCAATTCCCGGTCAGGGCACAAGCCTGGGTTGTGGGCTCAATCCCCAGTAGGAGGCGTGCAGGAGGCAACCAAGCAACAATTCTCTCTCATCATTGATGTTTCTCCCTCCCTCTCCCTTCCTCTCTGAAATCAATAAAAAGGCTTTGTTGTTGTTGTTGCTAAGAAAGATAGTTTTAAAATGCAAGTAGCAAGGTACTGCCTTTGATTCAAATATTTTAAGTTCTTGTTTTCTGAAACTGAGTGCTTACTGTGCCTGAATATGGAAGAATAACTTTTATACCTTTCCTACCCAACAAGTGATTGGCTTTGCAGAAAATAAAGTTTAAAAAAATACAAAGTTCAGCCGAGACCAGTTTGGCTCAATGGATAGAGCGTTGGCTTGGGGACTGAAGGGTCCCGGGTTGGATTCCGGTCAAGGGCATGTACCTTGGTTGCGGGCATATCCCCAATAGGGGGTGTGAAGAGGCAGCTGATCGATGACTCTCTCTCATTGATGTTTCTAACTCTCTCTCTCCATTCCTCTCTGTACAAAATCAATAAAATATATTTTAAAAAAATAAAATACAAAATTCATTAAAGAGAGAAAGTAGCCAGGTGGAGTGAACATCAATAGTCCATTTTATGTAACCCAGTTCACCTAAAATACCATCTCAACATGTACTCCACACAAAGTGCACAAAATGCTGTCCTGGCTTTCTCCACTCCGAGTCTGAAGGCTGGTGAAGGTTACGTCTCACTTCAGGCCACTGCAGCCGGCGCCTCTAGCCCCTCGCCCTACCCATGTCCCCTGGACCTGCCACTGAGCCTGGCTGGGGGATTCCCTGTGACAAGACGTTCAGTCAACTTCTCCTCCAGGGGGAGCCACACCACACTCCTCGTGGCCACCAGATCAGCTTGGAGACAGATGTGCGGAGTCCTCTCCACTGGACCCTGTAGCTGCCCCAGGAACAACACTGCCCAGACCTTCGAATGAGGATGCGTGGTTGGTGCCTGGGGGTCCCCTCCTGCGGGAAGTGTGAGGGCCCCACCTACACAACCACCTGGTTTCCTGGCCTCTCATCTGTGTCTCCCTCCCAGTGATGTCCACTCTGTACCACGCATTGAGGAGGTCTCATCTCAGACACCCCCACCCTTGGGATCCCAGGCTGCTAAAGTGTGGTCCATGCTCAACAGAAACAGGAAGCTGGCGCAGGTTGTCTGGGTACAATTCCTTTATTTCTCCTATTCGGACTTCCCACATTCAGATCCTGCTCCCTCCACAGAGGACTCCCCACCAGGACTGGACCTGCAGTTCGAGGTCCCATCCCCTTGGAAGGGGCTAAAACCAAGGCGCAGCACCCACCAGTTCGCCACAAAAGCATCTGATCACCTCATCAGAGATGGGGTGGGGACTTGGGAATCACCTTTAAAAAAGTTCCTCGGAGGGAACAGCATCCCTGCTGCAGGCTCAGAGGCTCAGCCCAAAGCCCAGCTGCATGGACCGGAACATCACCCTGGGCCAGGCTCCACCCCAGCCCCATGCTGAGAAGACCCGCCTTCTCAGCCTCAGTCCCAGTGGCAACAGCTGTTCATCTGGACTCCAGCTCCAGAGGGTTGGGGTGGCTCCAGAGGGCTTGGGTGGCATGTGTGACAGAACTGGGTTCAGGCCCACGGTGGTTCTCAGCTCTCCTTTGGCCAAGGCTTCCTCACAGAGCCCATGGCCTCCCGCGTGGGGTTGCGGTCCAGGGCACATGCGGGGATCTGGAGAACAGCCGATTTCATGACAGCCTGCTCCAGAGTCTGCTGCCCCGAGCCCTGGCCTTTGGTCCTCCGGCTGGGCCTTTGTCCAGGTAGGCCCCAGCTGCACAGGCTTATCACCTCACGGCCTCACGGCCACACACTGGACCGTGGGGACAAGGCCAGAAGCCTCGGCTGCAGCCTCACATCACCCAGGCTTCCAGCTGACAGTGTACAGGCGGCACTGTCTGTCTGGGCCAGCACTGAGGGTAACGAGGAGCAGAGAAGCAGGGGTGGCCCTGCCCTGGGGGCCTGCAGCACTCAAATCCATAGGGCCCAGCTTCCTGGCTGCCTCACACACAGGTAAACATACCATGAACACACACAAACACGCACTGAGACACATATACACACGCGACCTCTCGCTGGCTCGGAGGAAGCGAGCATTTGTGTGAACATCTGCTCCCTGAGGGTGAAGAAACAGGAGGATGCAGTGACATCCAAGGGGCCGAGGAAAGGGGAGGATGGGGGACATTGACAAGGTGCCCATCGATGGTCACGCTCACACACCAGCTGGGCCATCCCGAGGTCTGAGGCCAACAGATCTGCTGCTGCCCGAGGAGCGTGTTGAGGACCCCAGGTGAGGTGCCAGGGCCAAGGTCTCAGGTCTGGGCCAGAGAGAGCTCCTCCAGGCCCCCCTTCCCAAGCCGGTACCTGGCCAGGTCTTTCCTGGTTACCAGCCCGACCACCTGTGGGAACAAAGCCAGGTCAAAGGAAGCCGGCAGCTCCACTCCTCCTTTGTGGAAGCATGTGGGGGAGCAGCACAGTTTGGGGGAGACCCGGAGGTGGACATATGGCCAGGGCAGGCAGGCAGGCCAGCAGGAAAAGGGGCCCTTTGCCCTCCCTGGCTACTCACCTGATTGTGGTTGTCCACCACCACCAGATGCCTGAGGCCCAGGGCACGGAACAGCTTGAACACCCGAGGGAGAGATGCCTCCTGCAATGTGGTCAGGGCCTCAGTTTGACTACTGGCCCAGACTGGCTCCAGCCAAGAGCAGAGGCAGGACTCTCCAAGCCCAGGGTTGGCTGCCTCCCATCACACCCGCAGCAACCAGGACATCAATACGTGTCCTAAAGCACACCTTTCCTCCCCGCATGCCAACCAGCCCCATCTCAGCCCTGCTGCTGGGGTCTGGCTCTGCAGCCATGCCCACCCCCCAAACCTTGTCATGGGAGTAAGAATGGAGCTCTCCCCATTTTTCCACGTATTCCACCCCAGCCCCTCCCTGGCAAGCCACAGAAGGCCCTGCAAGTGGGAACCAGGCACCTGGGGCACTGTATACGGGGAGGGGTTCATGAATTCAGAGAGGTCCATGGTGCATTCGCGCTCATCCTGGGACACATGGATGGACTGGATAGGGGGGAAGCGTGGGTAGGCATCCCGGAAGTCCTTCAGCCTCAGCCGCCGCTGTACTAGGCCCCTGTTGGACCGCTCCACAAACACCTGCGGGCAGCAGGTAACAGGCAGTGGGCAAGGCACCTCAGAACCCCAGTTCCCAGCCTGCATCTCCCACCACCTGGAGGGGCCGAGGAGCCTACCTTGTGCTTTAAGAGGACAATCAGCTGGGAGCGCAGGATCAGGCCCTGGAGCCGAGCTGACTGCAGGGAAGAGAGAAGATGGCCTTGTCTGCGAGCAGAACCCAGACCTAGCACCTGCCTGCCTGGCTGAGGCCCTGTGAAAGCTCAGTGGTGTGAACAGGAGGGCGGGCAGTGTCTGAGCAGCAGGTCCAGGACGTCTGCTCGGGACCTTGGCACTAGTCAGGCTCCCTGTCACACTCCCCATCAACGTATGGTCACTGTCGACTGGCACTGACTTTGCCAAAGGCACAAGCATGCTAACCCCCAAACACCTGGAAGGGGCAGGGGGACACACAATGAAGGGCAAGGAACAAAGTGCCTGGGCTGCAGCATGGGCTGGGGGCATGCACCCCGGCTGACAAAATTCACCCCAAACCTTTGGGAGCTTGGCACTGGGTGGGCCACATGCTGTCAGGCCTCTCCCGACAACAGGCACAGCACGGCTGACTGGCAGTGTGGGTATGAGATGGCACTGGGAACATCACTCATCTATCTGAGGGGACAGTGCTCCTTTCACAGTTAATGGGATTCTACCAACCCTGCCCTGCTTGACAGGTACAGGGGAAGAGTATGGCTTCCCTGTGAGAGAGGACGGAGGCAGGACCTGGCCTGAGGCTATGGCTCCTGCGGGACAGCAGTGGACCCAGGTCCACCCCCCAGGCCCTGTACCTGGGGGTTGTCGGTGGACTCCACCACAGGGAACCCGTTGTGGTTGGACGCCGTGTCGCTGAGCACGTCCACGATGACGCCCACTTTCTCCCTCCTCCGCAGGCAGGTGACCGGCGTGCTCATCACCTCCCTGGGGAAGAGCACACACTGCGTCCCCTGTTGGCCACTTGGTCACAAACCATGTGTCCATGGGGATCCTGAATGAAGCCAACAGGCAGGAAGCTGCTGGCTGCAGTAAGCCACGAGAAGGGATGCAGGAAGCCAGAGGCCACAGAGCCCAGGTGCTGTCCTGGGAGAACCCGTCCTGGGTGGTGCCAGCAGCCCCGGCACCTGGAGAGCATCTCCCAGATGTTCGCACACAGGCGTGTGGCCTCCTTCCTGCTCCTGGCTGCCCACACCCACCCTGCCAGAGCGTCGGCACCACTCACTGCCCTCGACCTACGTGTGGAGAGGAAGCCCAGGCCTGCAGGCCGTCAGTCTAAAACCAAGACAGGGAGAAAGGCGGTACCTGGCGGTGAGCGAGTGCGAGGTGACCGGGGCTTCCCAGTGCAGGAAGGGCACACTTTGCAGCTGGATGTGCATGTCATACAGGCCCTGGGGAGAGGACACAGGCATCAGGCACAGGGAGGGGGTCCAGGGTGCAATGACCAGCACCAGCTGCCAAGGGGGGATCCGGGAAAACACAGTGCCTGTCACTGGGGGAGGGGTCCCAGGCACACTGTGCCTACCACTAAGGCGGAAGCTATTTGGGGGATGGCTTTGCAGGGGCCCCTTCCCTCCTCTGCTGCCACAGAGCACAATCTCCACATTCTCAGGCTCTGAGCACAGGGCATGGGGATGGGACCCAGAATGAGGACTAGGCAGGCAGGCCTTTCCCACCAGCTGTACCTCAATGAAAATGTCTCCTACGATCTTGGCGGTCATCAGGACCAGCATGATAGGGAAGCCATAGGTCACATTGCTGGTGGCCTCCATCATGATAACTGTCAGGCTCAGCGTCATCCTCACGATCCCACCTGCCCGGGGAGGGAGAGGTGGGCGGGGTGAGGTAGGGGTGGTCTCGAGGCCCTCCCTGCGCCCCTGCCTGCCCATGTTCTCCATGCAGGGCTGTCGCCATCCACTCAGGGCCCAGCTACACCCTATAGGGAGTAGTCAATGACACTAAATTGAACACTGGCCTTCGAGCTCCATGACGTACCCGCCCCTCCTGACTGGGTTGCCCACGTGGCAGACAGGACTCACCCAGCTGGGCAGCTGCTCCCATCAGGGCGTACTTTCCGGGGTCGGCCCAGATCTGTAGGGATGACACAGAGGTGGCGTTGGGGGTGGCACCCCTTACCCAAACCCTCCAAGATGCACAGAAGCTGCCTGGACTCAGCAATGTCACATCCAGGAAGTTTATGCACACATGTACAAAATGGTCTGCACCTCCTTGGTAATAACTAAGTCTAGAAATACCCAAGGAGGGGCCCAACCAGGGATGCCCTGAATGAATCATGCTGTTGGCTTAAGCCAGAGAACTTGGCAGTATGAGAAAGGAGGACACTCTATGTTTGGAGGAGGAGCTACAAGTGTGTGCAGTGGCTGTCATCTGCAGAAATGCCTGCACCGCACGAAGAGGGAGTGAGTGCCAGGAGTGAAAATCCAACACGCGCTACAACACAGATGAGCCCTGAAAACTGCACACTCAGGGAGAGCAGCAGACATGGGTGGCACCTGGTGTGTGATCCATTTACACTGAGCGGCCAGATTATTATGATCTCTGAACACATCGTAATCTGGCCATTCAGTGTATATCCTATATAATAAAAGGTTAATATGCAAATTATCCCCTTGATCAGGAGTTCAACCAGTAGGCAGGCTGGCCTACCACTCATGTCCTCTCCTGGCCAGGCTTGCCGAACCCTACCCATGCATGAATTCATGCACCAGGCCTCATATATATATATATATATATAGATAGATAGATAGATAGATATAGATATAGATATATAGATATATATTACACACATAAACATATACACACACACACACACACACACACACACACACATATATATATATATCATAAAGACATATATCACACACACACAGAGTGACCAGATTATGCATTCAGAGATCACAGTAATATGGCTACTCAGTGTATATAAAATGGGCAGAACAGGCAAGTCCACTGCGAGAATGCAGATGGTGGTTGCCAAGGACTGGAGAGGTATGGGAGTGAATGCTGAGGGGGACAGATTTCTTTCTGGGGCAATGAGAATGTCCTGAGCGGACATAGTAACAATGATTGCATTTTGAACATGCTATGGAACCACTGGGCTACACTTCTGAAGGGAGGGTTTATGGTATGTGAATCATGTTGCAGTTAAAAACCATAAAACATTGTGTCCGGGAGGAAACCTGAGACCTGAGGAAAGTCTGTCCCACGTCTGGCCAGGGGAGTGGGTGGAGGGACAGTGTGGGAGAGACTCGCCTGCTTGTTTACAGTTTAAAAAACCCTATTTTAATAATTAAGTTAAAAAAAGGGGCTATATATAAAATTAAAACCATGGTGTCCATGGAGGCAGGTGGAAAGAGGAGGCCAGGGAGGCCTGTCACACACACAGCCAGTCACCAGCATCTGCAGCCTGGGTGCCCACCCCAGGGTGCCCAATCCTTCCCTGTAACCTTCTCTCACTGACAGCCACTGAGTGTCTCCCCCTGACACTGTCTCTGGACCACACACATGGATGGCTCCATTAATGGCAGGTTCCTTTCAAATAGCAGCAACCAGAAAACTATGGCCATGTAAAATGACCAGAGGCTCTGAGGCGCTGACCATCACACTGGGAGCCCACTGCCCTCACTCACAGTGGCCCCGAGGCTGGGGCACCAGGACCACCCCTCTTCCCTCCAGCCCAGCTCTGTTCCCGCATGCTTGATGCATGGAGACCCCACTTACTGCGGACCCGGTGAGGTAGGACAGTGAGATGCCGAAGAGCCGACCCCAGGCAGCTCCAATGAGCAGGGACGGGATGAAGACGCCAGCAGACACTGTCAGCCCATAGGTCCAGCAGGCCAGGAAAAAGTAGACGAGGGTGAAGAGGCCGAGGGTCATAGGGTTGTAAGAGCCTAGTAGAGAGAGGCAGGCTAGTCATCACCTCCAGGTCACATCCTGACCCCTAGACACCCCCGCGAGTCCCCGGAAGTTTCCCCATTTTCAGAGGCCAGAGCATGGGGTTTTGGGGGCTGGGTCCTTGGAGGCAGGAAAATGGTCGGCCTGCCCGGGGACGGAGGGAGCCAGGGCAAGGGGGGCCCAGTGCAGCCAGCAGGACAGTGACCTGAGGCCAAGAGAAGGTGACCATTGAAGTCAGTGTGCAAATAGTAGGCACTGCAGTGCAGACCACTGGGGTGAGGGGAGAGACACTAGGTAACTCCCAGTGAACCCCGAACCAGCAGGTCAGGAGGCCTGGTGCCAGCTGCTCGCGTCACTCAGCACCTTTTAGAAAGGGCTTGGCCTCTACCCACATTTAAATGCTCCTGTTAAATTTGTGGATTCCTGTTACACACACAGGGCCAGAAAAGTTCTAGCCGTCTTTTTGTGACAGAAAACCATCAGAGACCACCTACGGGTCCTAAGAGGCGAGATGGCGCTCCAGAGTAGCACCATGGAGTAGCACAATGGAAGAATCTGACGCCATCTACTTTGGCTTCCGTGCCCAGTGTCTGGCCAGGGCGGCAGGGCCCATGGCGATGGCAGCTGACAGCACGGAGCACGGGCACACACCTGGAGGGTCGTGGAAAAGGCCGACCACGCTCTTCTCCGGGGTGTTAAAGAAGGCAGCAGCCATTGAGTTGTACTCGCCATCTGCACAGAAGAGCTGCAAGGTTGGGAGAGAGGACAGGCCAGTGGGATGGGGTAGTCCTGCCCAGCATCAAGCGCCAACACATGGCAGGATGAGGTCAGGCTGCTGCCTCGGAGGGGAGGCAGGCTGCGTTTCCGGGTCCATACCCACAGCCCCCACTCCTCAAGTCCTCCTCGGTCCTTGTCAGGCCACATGCTGGGAGGAGGGTCAGGGGAGGCTCCAGCCCGACAGGCACCAGCTTTCCCGACACCCAGTAGGCTGCCTGACCCTCTGTGAGGACACGCCAGCCTGTGTTGCCCAGGGCTCTGGAGTTCCGCTGTGTCACTAGCTCTCCTGCTGGGACGGGAGAGCGAGCGCTCCTCCTCAGAGGCCTGCCCTGCCCCCTGCCTGGTGGCCCAACCTCCTACCTGGAGGGGGTAGGACACGGAGTTGCCCTGCAGGGGCTGGCAGTCCCGAGATGAGTAGATCAGCACAAAGGCGACAGTGGCTGTAACAGCGGCCACCAGCATGGCCTCAATCACCTGGAGGCAGGGCCGGTGGATGTACCTAGAGCAAACACTGGGATGGACTTCTGGACACCTGGGCAGTTACCAAAGCAACCTGAGCCTGTGACTCCCTAAGAGCTGATAATACGACACTGATTAAGAGGGTGATGTAGCACGTTTAGTCATCAACCTACCCAGACTCCGGCACGTCCTGATTATCTCCTGGGTGCTCTCCAACTGATTTTAAGTTTTTGCAAGAGGAGGTACTTCCCCAAACCCCAAACTCACCCCAACCCCCACCTCAAAGCTCCAGTAATGGCTCTCCAAATGGAAAGAGAAGCCATGCCAGTTAACTGTATCCGGGCTCGAGATTGCCCTGGGCAGACCAGACTGAGGCCAGAAAAACCCTTACCCCAGGGCTGCTGGATCCACAGGCAGAACCTCCTCTGCCAGACCTTCCCGAGCCTTTCCCCTTCCATCCCCCAGCCCCATGCTGTCTCCTTCACATACAAGCCACCACAGAGGGATGCACACTGGCAGGTGGCATTCTATGTGGCCTTGTGGGCACATAGCCCACAATGAGTCCATTTTCAAAGGCCCCAGAAGCCACAAATCAGGTTTCTCACCTGATTCGAAACATCGTCAGCCAGTAATTCAAGGCATTGAACACAGCCCCAAGAACACCACCTGCGACCAGGAAGGAGTCACGTGTAAGAATGGTTGGGCTATCCCGCAGGAGAGGGACAGGGGGGACAGGAGAAGACGGTCTGCTCCATCACCACACTCTGATGGACAGGCAGAGGGGCTTATCTCTGAAAGGCTTTGCCTTCCTTTCCGGGAAAAGGTTGTGAGAGGAATGGATGATGTCGAGGGACCAGTCGCTTCTCGGATGGGCTCCCCATGGAGAAGCAGAGCTCTGGTTCTTTTTGGTGTGGGTTTCCCCTGGGTGGCCCCGCAGGAGCCATTTCAAAGCTGGCCCTGACCCCACCACATGCTTTGCTCCGCTGGGGGCCGCCATCTCGAGTGACGGAGTGTGAGGCCAGGTGGGTTGGTGTCCTTGGGATGGCCCTTACCCACCACGCCCATGGCGATGAAGATGGGGATCTCGTGGATCGTGTACACCATCGTCTGTGCAAAGAGGAAGAGCAGTTGTTCTGTGAGGAAATGTGTCATCAGCTTCTTGCCCCTCAGACTTGACAGATGGGGAGCCAAGGGGGGCAGGAAGGAGAGACCTAGGAACAATCTAGTGACCCAAACAGCCCAATGTGTCCCTGTGCAAGGGCGTCCTGGAGCAGAACCCCTGCCAGTGCCCGGCACCTGCAGTGTACGGTCCAGGCCTTCCGAGGGGCGCCGGCCTGCTCCCACCACCCTCCCTAAGCTGGTGCATGCGCACCCAGGACCACAGTCTGTGTCACTGTCTAACAATCTGCAAGTGGGGGAGACAACCCTGAAGGCTGTCTACTGGCACCCTCACCTCACAGCCAGGCTAGATGTGTGCTTCCCAAAGCCACCTCTGGTCCGGGGGCTTATGATCAGAGCTCAATCTCAGCGAAGAGATGGAGTTTCCCAAAAGCCCAAGCTCTCGGGCTGGACCTTAAATAAACCGTGGCCCCGCACAGAGAACCAGAAACAGTGACTGGGACAATGGGCCACGTTACCTGCGTGTCAAATCTGCCAAAATTGATGAGGCCCGGGCTGGACAGGTCCCAGATGTTTCCATGGTAAATGCTTAAGACAAAGTTCAGTGTGAAGGTGGAGATCATGGAAGCAAAGAACTGTGGGCACAGAGAGAAACAAACACCATCAGAACAACAGTGCCCTCCGAGAGGAACCCTGGGAGCGGGGGAGGGGCTGCCTCTCCTGTCATTGAGGCGGCACCGGGAGCCCCTCCAAAGGCTAAAGGAAAGGAGGCTGGGGTCTCGATGGCCGGGCCCCTCAAGGCTGGGCAAGCCAGGCGAGTTTGGGGTCAAGCCAGGACAGAGCTGAGGAAAGATGTATGAGGTCAGGGGGTTCCCAATGAGGAGTTGAAGGAGCACAGGGTGAAAACAGTGACCTGACTGACAGGGGAAGGGCAGGAGGCAACACGTCAGGGTCAAGTGAGGGACAGAGCTGGGCTATAAAAATCCAACGGGGCGTGGCTCCAACCACGGCTCAACAGGAACCTCCGCGAGGCCACCAAAGCGTGGGCCAGAGCGTGGTGTCCAGGGGACCACGAAGGACACCAAGGTGAGACACGCCTGCCGTGGGGAGAGGCGCCGTTGTGGGCACTTACGATTCTCCACGTCAGGAACTGGTTCCAGAAGGAGGCACCTTCCTCCAAGCTGAAGAGGACCCCGCCTGGAACGCAGTGGCCCAGCCTGAAGTTTCTACCCAGGCGCAGAGCCCGCACCCAGAGCCCCTCACACCCCAGACCCAAGGCACCAAGCCCACATCAGAGGCAGCCCTGGGCGCTTTCGGGAGGCACCCACATCCTCACACCACCCAGCACCCAGGTTTGCAAACACCAAAACTATTCCTTCTCAAGGCACGGACAGCCCTGCTTGCCCAACACAGGAAGTCACTTGTCACCCAGGCAGGGCCCCTGCTCACCCACAGGGGCCCCAAACGCAGCAGACACTCCAGCCGCAGCTCCTGCCGAGACAAAGTCCCGCTTCTCCGTGTCTCTGCGGAAGTACTCAAAGATCTGAAATGGGGCAGGACAGAGAGGAACAGGGTGTTAGCCAGCTTCTCCAAGGGCACTTCTCAGAAAGGAATGGGGAGAGAGGAAGTGGAGGGAGAGGAAGAGAGTCTCTAGACAGTCTACTTATCAACTCCTGGATTCACAAAGACTGCAGATCCAAAGAGGCAACCAAAGAGAGCTTCCTTGCATACTAACAACCATGAGAAAATAATGAAAAGGTTCTATCACAACAAGAATTAAACGTTAGGCCCTGGCCAGCATGGCTCAGTGGGTAGAGCGTCAGCCCATGCACCAAAGGGTCTTGGGTTCCATTCCCAGTCAAGGGCATATACCTGGGTTACAGGTTCAATCCCTGGCCCTAGGGGGGGGGCATGTGAGAGGCGACCAATCAATGTGTCTCTCTCACACTGATGTTTCTATCTCTATCCTTCTTTCCTTCCTCTATTTAACTCTTTCTAAAAATCAATGGAGAAAATAAACTGATGAATAAAATAGATCCAGAGACAGGAGCATGAAAGAGACTGATGAATCTCAAAAGGAAGGCAGGGGTGAGGGATAGGGAACTTATATGCATACTAGAGGCCCGGTGCACAAAATTTGTGCATGGTGTGTGTGTGTGTGTGTGTATATATGTATGTGTATATATATGTATGTATGTATATATGTATGTATGTATATATATGTATATATATGTATATATATATATATATTTGTGTGTGTGTGTCCCTCAGCCCAGCCTGCACCCTCTCCAATGTCAGACATCCCAGGACTGCTGGCTCCCAACCGCTCGCCTGCCTGCCTGATTGCCCCCATCACTTCTGCCTGCCAGCCTGATCACCCCCTATCCACTCCCCTGCCAGCCTGGTCACCCCCAACTGCCCTCCCTTATAGGCCTGGTCCCTCCCAACTGTCCTCCCCTGCAGGCCTGATCACCCACAACTGTGTTCCGCTGCTGGCCATCTTGTGGCAGCCATCTTTTGTCCACATGGGGGTGGCCATCTTGTGTGTTGGAGTGGTCAATTTGCACATTACCTCTTTAGTATATAGGACTAGTAGCCCACTGCAGGAAAATTCCTGCAATAGGGCTTCCTGCTGCGCTCTCCCCCACCCCATCTGCTTCTCTTCCTTCTCCCCTGCCCTGCTTGCTTGCTTCTCCGCAGCTTGGCTTCCTTCTGCAGTGCTTGGCTTCTTTCTATGATGTCTTGATATGCAAATTTACCACCATCTTGGTTTGGGTTATTTTGCATACTCACCCTGATTGGTTGATGGGCGTGGCTTGGGCATAGCGAGGGTGTGGTCAATTTGCATATTACTCTTTTATTAGTTAGGATATAGATAGCCCATGGACTCAGAAAATAGGCTGGTGAAGGCCTGGGAGGGTTAGGTGTAGGGTGGAGGGTGACTGGGAACAATAGAGAATATCTGTAATACTTTCAACAATAAATCAAAAAGAAAAAAACTAAAAAAAAAAGATAAATGGAAAAATATCCTTAGATGAGGATTAACAACAACAAAAAACTTAAATGTATTCTTGATTTTACAAGACTCTGTTCTATAGAAAGATGTTAACTGTCTCCAAATTCGTATATAAATGCAGTGTAATGCCCATCAAAAATCTGGCAGCTTTCTGGAGAAACATGACAAAACTATTCTGAAGAATATCTTAAAAATTAAGCATGTCACTCCTGACCTCTTTCGAGGTCACACAGGCCTTTGAGGCCATTTCCAAAAAAAAAAAAAAAGCACACCCACCAAAGCCCTGAGAACAAGGCTCTGAGCAGACCACCGTGGAGACCCTCAGGTGCGATGTCAGGGTGGCCTTGGAACAGAGCAGGAAGGACCCCGCTTTCCAAAGGACATTCATGGTCACCCTCACTGTCGACACCTGCATCGGGGAGGACTCACCTTGAAGTCTCGCTTCAGTGACGTTGACCTCCCCTGGGAAATGCCAGCAGCAATCACGGAGCCCGAGTGAATCATCGGCCCCTCCTGGAAAGCGCAGGACAGCCCATCAGGCCAGTTCAGAGAGAGCATGGAGGGCAGAGGACTCAGCCCAAGCAGCGCTCCTCGGGCTGCATTACCTTTCCCACCGCCAGTCCTCCCACCACGGACAGGATCACACCAGATACTTTAATCACCAGGGTCTGGAACACAAAGGAAAGAGCGTCAAGTCTCTGGTTACAGATGGCACCACGGCACTGCACACAAAGCCAGACTCATCACATACCCAGCACCCGTGAGCAACAGAGAGGGCACTCGGAGGGGCCAGCACAGCCTCCTCCCCCGTGAGGTCACTCTGCTCCCCGGTGTGTCCAGGCCCCAGAAGCGTCTGCTCCCCATATGGGAAACGCTTCGGCTGAGGCTCGCAGACCAAAACACCGGAAATGGCCATGGGAGGAAGCCTGACTTGCCAACCCCTCGGAATGAGTGTGTCATCAGGAACATGAAGCATGAGTGTTAAGGGAAACTCTGAGAAATGGAGAGAGCTCACAGCAAGGCTCCCAATCCAGCACAGGTGCTCTCTCTGGAATGCGAACCCGTGAGGAACTGACAAACACGCCACAGTGGCTGTCACAGCACGCACACCACTGAAGCCTTTCTCTGTTACATAAAACGGGCAGAGAAAGTTTCCACCCCTTTCCAAAGAAAATGTATACAAAACCCAGCACATCCATGCACATGCTCGTGAGCAGCACACACCACGGTCTGGGTGAATTTGGGAGGTGCAGGTGGACAAACAAAAGGTTTCTAACCCAGCAAAGAACCCCCATGATGGGCCCCATGCTCGCAGCCCAGAGTTCACCTCCTCACCTTGAGCCGGACCACGTGGGGGATCTTCACCCCGTTGAGGAAGCACTTGATCTGGGGGATCCCACTGCCAGCAGCAACTGGCTGGAAGGAGAGAGAAGAGAACATGGAGCTAGCCAAGCTGAATGAATGGACGGAGATTAGGAGGCCCAGGGAGACTCAGCCTCGTGGTGCTCTGGATGGGGAGGGGATGACATGGGACTGGATCGGGCAGATGCCTGGGAAGGGGCTCCCCAGATGCAGAATGACCACCGAGGGTGCAAGTGCTGAGAGATGTGGGAGGGGTTGGGTGTGGAAATGGAAGGAGGTGCCGAGCCCCCACAAGGACAGAGTTGGGACGCTCTAGGACAGACTGGAGGCACATATCATGCACTAGCTGAGAGGAACCTTGGGAGGGGGGCACCGCACTGCACACCAGACAGAAGCTTCTGTCTGGTGCTTCCCCCTCTTCCTACCATGATAAGGGAAGAACAAAGAGGCAGGCCACAGGAAGGGCTTCTGGGAGAAGTCTTGGAATGAAGGGACACCCTAGGAGAGTCTGATCCCCTCAGGTGGGTGGTCCCCTCCATTTGGACCACTGGGACCTCCTAGAAGTGAGCTGTGCCCCCGTGGTCTTTGCCGTGCTCGCAGCCCAGGGGTGGGCGAGGGGCACACCGCCAGGGAAGGGGGGTGTTCTTACTGAACCATTTAACCTCTGCACTAGTGTGACCACAGGCCCTCACTGGCAGAAGCTGCAGTAGGTGAGCTGGAGCAGTTCCCACCATCCAGGGGTCCCTGATGGCCGTACCTCTATGAAGGCAACAATCATGGAGCCGACCAGCACGAACGCAGAATTCAACGTGGCCCACAGCAGGAGCGAGAAGGACAGCCCCCCTTTCTCCGTGAACTTGTCGATATCTGGGCTCATCAAGGACGAGTATCAGCTCCACCATTTGAGTACATCCCCAGCATGCCTCACCCTGATACGAGCATGACCTCCAAGTACACAGAGGGGAGTGGGAGGCGGGGAGGGGGCGACGCACTAACTGCTCATCTCAGAGACGTTCCACTGCCCAGTCCCAACTCGCCCAGTTGGAGGGCAAACACCCAGGCCAGCGCTATCTCCTGATGGGCCCGCTCTGGGATGCACAGTCACTCATGGGGCCCTACGCTCTGCTCCAAGCTCCACCCCGTCTGTGTTGGGTCCCTTCCGAAAAGGATACTGTCCTTGACGACCTTGTATTTCAGGCCGGCCAAGTTCTCCACCATGATGTCGATGAAGCAGGCCACAAGCCCCGTGAGGATCCCTATCATGGCACAAATGACCCAGCGCTTGATCTCCACTGTCCGGAAGGCCTGAGGGGGAGGCACTAGTCAGAGGCGAGTGCAGTGGCAAGACATCAGCTATACACTGCTCTAGCGACAACATGACTGGCCCTGGAATCCCCCAAGTCAGCCTCTGGTCAATGTCTGAGAGACGATGGAGCATTGGGGGGGGATCTTCCCAACCAAGCCATAATCAGTTGTGGACATCGCGGCCACTGCAGCTGACATCTAAGAACAGCCTTCTTTGTTGTTTTTGAAATGTGACACACACTCCCTTTCCCGGATCAGGTGTTGGGTGGGTGTCTCTTGCTCCAGACACAAACCAGAACCTGCGGCACAAGGACTGAGGACAGGGAGATGGAGGGGACCCATCACTACACCCAGGTGGGAGAGCAGCACCAGCCCAGCCTGCGGGTCCCTAGGGCGGTGTCCAGGCTGCCCGGCCGCAGACTCACCATGTGGTTGATGCGCCTCTCCTCCTCCAGGAACAGCTGGTTCTCACTGTTGTCGTAGTCCAAGCTCTGCAGACCAGGGTTACACAGACCACACACTGATTGACCCCGGTGTCCCGGTTCACGTTGGGCAGGGGTGGAGGGGAGGCTGGAGAGGGGATAAAGTGCCCGGGGCGGTATGGGGCAGGGGCACCCAGGGAGGAGGCCCACCTCATACTTGAGGGACAGGAGCTTCTCGTTGTGCGGGATCTCCTTGGGGAAAGGGTGAGGGGGATCCATCTCCTGCAAAGGAAGAGGCAGAGCCACACACTGACAACCCAGCACACTGAAGAACAAAGCGCAGACGAGGAGAGGACAGAGCATGTGTCTGCTCATCTCATGAGGTCAGTACTCTCCTGACCCCAAAGCTAAACATGGATGCCACAAGAAAGGAAACTCACTACAAATGCACACCCTTTGTGAACACAGACACAAAATCCTCAACAAGATGCCAGTGGGTTAGATCCTACAACACACCAGGAATGCAAGGGTAGTTTAACATCTGAAAATCAATTACTGCAACATCTGTGGTACATTGGAGAATGTATTATTGGTCTTTGTATCAGTTCCTAGCACCTGGCTCCTAAAATCCTGGGCATCTCTGGGTAGTGTCTTATGTGAGCTAATGAGGGATCATAGGGGCTCCTGGGCTTCAGGGTGGGCCTAATTGCCAGAGAGATTAAGGCGTGTTTAGAGGACAGCATCTTTCAGTCCCAACATCAGTAGAGGGAGAGGGGCTGGAGACTGAGCTAATCACCAATGATCAATGACTTAATCAATCAGCCTTTGTAGTGGAACCTCCATTCAAACCCTAAATGAAAGGGTTTGGGGAACTTCTGGGTTGGCGAACATGTGAGGAGCTATGTGGGTGGCGCTCCTGGAAGAGGCATGGAAGCTCCGAACCCTTCCCTGTGCATCTACTGCCTGCTGTCCCTGAGTGCAGACTCTATAATAATTCAGTAAACATAAGCAAAATGTTTCCCTAAGTTCTGTGAGCCCTTTAGCCAATTATGGACATAAGGAAGGGGTCAGAGGCACTGTGATTTATAGCTGGACATTCACAAGCACAAATGACAACCTGGACTTGTGACTGGGGTCTGAAGTGGGGGCAGTCTTGTAGGACTGAGCCTTTCCTGGGGGTCTGTGCCAACATCATGCAGTTAGTGTCAGAATGAACTGACTCATAGGACAACCAGGTAGTATCTGGAGAAACAGAATTAGCTGGTATGAGGAAAACCCACCACATATTTGTTATCAGAAATTTTGTGAGTGAAACAAGTGTAATGCCACTTTAATATAGTAAAGGACAGAAAATACATGTGACCTCAATAGACACAGAAAAGCATCTGACAAAATTCAACCCCTCTTGCCTTGGCTGGTGTGCACAGTGGTTAGACCATCACCCTGTCAACAAAGGGTTGTGGGTTCACTCCCACCCCCGACTGGGTGCATGCAGGAGGCAGCTAGTCGATGTGTCTCTCTCACATCGACGTTTCTCCCCGCCCATCCCTCCCTTCCACTCTCTCTGAAAAGCAATGGGAAAAATATCCTCAGGTGATGCTAACAACAACAACAACAACAAAAATCAACCCCTCTTCATGATTAAAACACTCAACAACTAGGAATAAAGGGAATTTCCTCAACCTGATAAAGGCATTTAGCAAAAACCCACAGGTAACATCACACTCAATGGTGAAAAACTATGGTTTCCCCTAAGCTCAGGAACAAGACGAAGAGGCTTGCTCTTGCCACTGCTATTCAGCATTTTCATGGAGGTTATACCAGGGCAATTAGGCAAGAGAATGAAATACCATAAAAAGCATCCAGATTGTAAAGGAATAAATGAAACTCTACTTGCAGATGACATGATCTTATATGTAGAAAATCCTCCAGAATATACTAAAAAACTGTTAGAATGCATTCAGTAAGACTGAAGGATACAAGATCAGTATATAAATATCAAATTTATTTCCATGCATTGGCAATGAACCACCTGAAATGCAATTCTGAAATGCAATTAAGAAAACAATTCTAGACCAGCCAGTGTGACTCAGTGGTTAAGCCTTGATCTATGAATCAGGAGGTCACAGTTCGATTTCCAGTCAAGGCACATGCCCGGCTTGAGGGCTCAATCCCCAGTAGGTGGCATGCAGAAGACAGCCAACCAATAATTCTTTCTCATCATTAACGTTTCTCTCTCCCTTCCTCTCTGAAATCAGTAATTTTATATATATGAAGCAACTCTATTTACAACAGCATGAAAAATAAAATGTATAAAATAAAATTTATTCCTAAAATACATTTAACAAAAGTTGAAAAAAAATTGTATGATGAAAACTATAAAACATTGTTGAAAGTAAGGAAGTGGAGATCTAAATAAATGGAAAGACATCCGGTGTTCATCAGAAGACTTAATATTAAATTCCAACACAATCCCTGTCTAAAATCCAGCTGGAAGCATTCAAGAAACTGACAAGCTGATCCTAAAATCAATATGGAAATGCAAGGGATGTCTCAGAGCCAGAACAATCTTGAAAAAAAGCAAAGTTGGAAAACTCAAACTTCCTGACTTCAAAACTGACTATAAAGCTACAGTTGTCATGACAGTGGTGGGGCTGACTCAAGAACAGACTGAGATTAACGGCAGACAGAAATAAACCTCACATTTATGACCAATTGATTTTCTGCAAGGATGCCAAGACAATTCAAAAGGAAAAGTATAGTCACTTCATGAAATGGTGCTGGGAAAACTGGGCATCCAAATGCAAAACTATAAACCTGAGCCTGTACCTTACACCATACACAAAATTAGTGAAAAACAATCAAGACCTAAATAAAACTACAGAACTCATAGAAGAAAACACAGCAGTGAATCTTTATAACCTTGGAGTAGGCAATGGTTTTTTAGATGAGAACAAAAGCAAAACACAAGAAAATAGATAAACCAGAATTCATCAAAATTAAAGGGTTTTGTGCTTCACAGGGCACTGTCAGAAAGTGAGATGACATCCACAAAACAGGAAAAAGTTTCTCAGAATCATGCATCTGATGAGCAATTTGTGTCTAGACTATATAAAGAACTCCTACAGCTCAATTATTAAAACAGAAATAACTTGATTACAAATGGGCATAGGATCTAAATAGACATTTCTCCAAAGAAGACACACAAACAGCGATCAACACATGAAAAATGCTCAGCATCACTGACCACCAGGGAAATGAAAATCAGGACCACGCACCTGAGGAGGAAGTCAAATGCAAGTCTGGGTGGACATTTTCAGGACATGTCCCCCTGGAGCTGTTGGACAATCCAAGCCTGACACAGGGGCAGAAGAGGACATCACCACTGTCCAGGGACATCCACCCTGAGAGGCCTTCCTGCCCCAAGGGCCCTCCACCAGCCTGGCATCCCTCTTCCACCCACAGCACCTGCCCTGGCCTGCTTCCTCTGCCTACACAGAGCATGCTCAATCAGCATTCAACACCGGCCACACACTTCCCCTATCTGGCTTGGCCTTGGAGAACATGACCCCTCAGAATAGCCTTCCCTGGTTGCCTAAGCTCTGTGGGGACCCAATGTTTGTTCCTCATTGTCTCTGAGCTCTGCTTGGCCCATTTCTGTCTCCGAGTTCTATATGGCCCTGTCCATATCTGTCCCTGAGCTCTGCACAGAACTGCCCATGTCTGTCACTGAGCCATACACAAAACTGCCCGGTCTGCACAGATTTGCGCACGTCTCTCCCAGAAAAACCCACCATCCTCCAGTTTCTCATTTACTGTCTGCCTTCGGACTAGGTTGCAATGCCACCAAGCAGGCCTCGTCTGTCCTTCCTGGGTTTAAACAGGAATGACTCCTACTCACTGGGTTTAGAAGCTCATCGTCTGGCTCCACGTTGCTCATCTGTCCGATCTGGAAAGATGCCGAATGGGGTGACTGGAAGCAGAAAAGAAATGTCAGGGCGCTCAGCCACAGGCCCAAGCTACACTAAGCATCACCATCCCGCCAGGAGAGCCTGGCCTCATCTGGCCCTGCCAGCGGAGCAGAGACCCACCCCTGCTGTGTGGAACGACAGCAGGACCAGTGCTGGACCCATGCCTGTCCCCACCACCCACAGCCTGTCAATATGTCCAGCTTCAGAATGGGAAGCCCAGGCCTTCCCCACAGCAGACCCTGCCCTTCCTTGTTTTAATGGGCTTCGGAGATTAGACACCTACTAGACACCAGAACCCAGGGCTGCAGGCAAGCTTGCTGCTGCCCTCCTGGCCCCCTTCCCTGGATAACAAAAACCCATTCTCCATGTCTTCCCCCATCATGAGACAGTGGTCTGCCACAGGCCTCCAGGCCAGCTCTCCAGACATGTGATCTGAGGCCCTCTCTCCTGGGGCAGGAATACCCTCAAACCCCAGAACCCTCCCACTTTGAAGTGAGGCCACATGCTGGGACCCAGGGGGCAGGTCAATCACAAAGCACAGAAAACCAGGAGCGTGACTTCTCTTAGGCCCACTGCTGGGGCATGGCAGAGGCCTGGACGAGGAAACAAAACACATACATCAGTTACCTTTTCATTTTAGAGAAGCAAGAAACCATGGGTTAGCTAAGTATATTTCAAATATTACATACTTGACCTCAAAGATGGTTCTTTGTTTCTCTGCAATGAAAATGCAGTTAGGTGCCCTGAATTTCATCTGGTAGCTACACATGCAGTGGAAAAGCAAGCAGCCAGCCCAGGCTACGTGGCTCAGTGGTTGAGCACTGACCTATGAACCAGGAAGCCACAGTTCAATTTCTGGTCAGGGCACATGCCTCATCCCCAGCAGGAAACAGCTGATCAATGATTCTCTCTCATCATTGACTAGAGGCCCAGTGCATGAAATTTGTGCATGGGTAGGGTCCCTAGGCCTGGCCAGTGATTGGGCCTCCCTTCCCCAGCTGCAGGCTGCCGGCTGCCGGCTGGGGCATTCCTTTGTTCCAGGTCACGAACTGGTGATCAGTGCACGTCACAGTGAGCCATAGAACTCCCAGTCTCCTGGTTGAACTCCCGTGGGGACACTTTGCATATTAGCCTTTTATATATAGATGTTTCTATGTCTCTCTCCTCCTCCTCTCTGAAATCAATAAAAACATAGGATCTCAGAGGGGTATTCAGCCAAAGAGTGCACTGTGACTCCAGTATAGGAAGTTTACGTCAGGTGAAAACAACCTGTGCTGCCTCAGTGGCTACTTTTGGGGTACAGGAAAAGTGAGGGCACGAGGGGGCTCAGAGGACATCAGCTGACTGGAAGTTGTCTGAATCTCCTGGCACCACTGTAAACAATTACAACAAATTGGGGGCCTTATATCAGGAGAAATATATTCCTTCCCAACTCTGGAGGCCAAGGTGTCACCAGGCAGCACTCCCTCCCAAGGCCCCTTCCTGCCTCTTCTAGCTTCTGATGGGTGATGGCATCTAAGTATTCCTTGGCATCTGGCCACATCATTAGAGAATCTCTGCTTCCGTAGTCTGTCCAAATTTCCCTCTCCTTAAGAGGACACCTGTCACTGGTGGCAGACTATGCAAATCCGACCTCATTTTAACTTGATCATGTTTGTGAAGATCCTATTTCCATGAGAGGTCCCATGCACAGGTTCCAGGGGTTAGAGGTGGACAGATATTTAGGGTGGTAACATGTGAGGTGCGTGTTCTACTTGAGATCATGCTCCACTTGCACAATGTGCACGTGTCTATGTACATATGGTAAACATCAGAACAGGTGATTAATGAGAAAAAGACCTGTATCCTTCTAAAAACAATTGACAATGCCCCCAAACGGCTGCATCTTATGAGAAAGGCTGTGCTGACCCAGAAAGGGATCCCAGCTAAGAGTGAATTCGAACCAGGAGGTGGCCGGGCACTGGCTGCAGTCCCCACACCCCAGACAGGACACAGTCATCAGGAAGCATGCCCAAGCTGCAAGCCCAATCACAGCAACTCCAAATACACTTTCCTGGGGACATGTCCGCACATGCAGACCGGCCAAGCAGACTGGGCACAAAGACGGGCAAGCCCAGCTGGCAATGCCCAGGCGGCATCAGCTGGACTGTGAAAGGAGAACGGGAAAACCGATACTGCCATCCAACCTGACAGATGGAGCCCACAGAAAGGCAGTCTGGCCCCTTTATCTTATTTGTCACTGATCATAAAAGCAGCTCAATTATATCGGGCAGTCATTCCCACCACACCAAGGCAGCCCAGAGTTGATCCCCATAAAGCATTTCCTTTCACATCTAAAGGTTCCTGGGCCAGGCTGTGACCTCACGTGCAGCCCAGAGAGAGAAGGGGCAGGACTCAGGTGACAAAAGGTCCTTCGCACCTGCCTTGATGCCAGATGAGCACAGGGGATGGCACCCTGAGGGAGCCGTGAAGACCCAGGAAGGGTGATGAGTGGGAGGAGCTGAGCCACGGGCTGCGCCTCTCCCTTGTCCACACCTTCATGTTTTCATCACCTCTTTTCTGAACTTTATGGGCATCTTTTAGGAACTATCTTTTGTGGTAAAAAAGGCCATTTACTCAAAGTTCAATTATTTATTGTGTGTTGCACCTATTTTCTTCTCTTTTCTTAAACACATGTTAAATTAAATACTGATTCTTCTAACTACTGACATGCACAAGCCTGGCTGCAATCTTCCAGGACAGGACGTGATGAAAGATTTACATACTGTGCGGTTCCACTGACCTGACACTCTCAGAATGCCAGGCTGCAGGGATGAGAAGTACTCGGTGGGGGAGGAGTGGTGGTAAGAGGAGGACAAAGGGATCTGCATGGTAATGGGCATGCTCTGTGCCTTGCCTGCAGTGGTGTGCTCACACAATCTACACATGACCTAACAGCAGAGAACCACATACACGCACTGTGCCGATGTCAACACGGGTTTCTGTATTGCACTATGAAAGATGGAACCAGTGGATGAAACGGGGGGAAGGTATGCAGGCCCATTCTATAATATACTGTCTTTCAATGTCCTGTAAGTCCATAATTATTTTTTAAAATTTTAAATTTATATACAAATGAGAATCCAACTGAAAAACTCTGTGCATCAAAGGAAACAATTAACAAAGTAAAAAGGAAACCCATAAAGTGGGAGAAAATATTTACAAATTATAGATTTGATAAAGGGTCAATATCCAGAATATATATTAGTAAAGGACTTGTACAACTCAATAAAAAAAACAACACCACACCTAATCTGCCTAAAAAAATGAACAAAGGACTTGAATAAATATTTCTCCAAAGACATACAGATGGCCAATAAACACATGAAAACATGCTCAGCATCACTAATCACTAGGGAAAGGCAAATCAAAACTGCAATGAGCCTGGCCGGGGTGGCTCAGTGGTTGGATGTTGAACTATGAACAAGGAGGTCACAGTTTGAACCATGACTTCCTGGTTAGTGCACATGACAGAATCATGGGCTCGATCCCTAGACGGGGGCATGAAGGAGACAGACAATCAATGATTCTCATTGATCTTTCTCTCTCTCTCTCTTTTCCTCCCTTCTTCTCTGAAATCAGTAAAAATATATTAAAAAAAGAAAACTACAATGATACCACTTCACAGCTGTGAGTCTGGCCAGAATAAAAACCCAAATAGAATAACAAGTGTTGATGAGGATTAGAAGTTGGAAGCTGGTGCACTGTGTGGGTGTGAATGCAAAATGGTGCAGGCACTGTGGAAAACATTATGAAAGTTCCTCAAAAAGTTAAAAATAGGGCTATCACAAGGTGCAGCAATTCCACCCGTGTGTGTGTGTGTGTGTGTGTGTGTGTGTGTGTATATCTCCAAAAGAATTGAAAGCAGGATCTCAAAGAAGCATTTGGACACTCATACTCATAATAGCATTATGCATAATAGCTGCAATGTGGAAGCAACCCAAATGTCCATTGATGATGAGGGGGTAAACCAGCGGTAGGATATACATACAGTGGAATATTATTCAGCCTTAAAAAGGAAGGAACTTCTACAATACATGCTACAACATGGATGAACCTTGATGACATTATAGTATGAGAAAGTAGCTGGTCACAAAAACACAAATACTGTGTGATTCTCCTCATTTGAGGTCCCTGGAAGTCAAATTTATATAGAGATAAAACAGAATGGTGGCTGCCAGAGGCTGGTGAAGGGGAAGTTAGTGCTTAATGGGCACAGTTTCAGTTTTGCAAGATGAAGAGTTTTGGGGACGAAGGTGGTGATGGTTGTGCAACCATGTGAATGTACTTACCAGCACTGAACTGTACACTTAAAAATGGTTAATATGATAAACTTTGCTGTATGTTTTTACCGCAATTACAACAAAATTTAAAAATAACTTAAAGGTTGTTTGCTGTCCTATTCTGCTGCTCTGCATTGTAACACCCTCCAGGCTCCATGCTCAGCACTGAGAGCTTAAGATCACTACACTTAGGAGCTCTCAGTCAGAGAAAACACGTTTCCCATAAACAAGTAAGTGTAAACTATGAGACTTGAGCTCGATGGGTGGGTGAGGAGAAGGCACTGAGGCTGAGACCTAAAGGAAGAAAAGGAGCAAGCAGGAGGAGGGGCTTTGGGGTGGGAACTCTGTGGAGGAGGTGCGGGGTGCCTTCCAAGGCCCTCTGGCTAGGCCTGAGGCCACTCTTGTCCCTTAGCTCTCTGCACTGTCTGTGTTCTCATCTGCCTCTCCAGATTGTGAGCTTCCTGAGGCCATGGCTGTTCCATCCACACTGGTCCTGGACAGGAGCCCTTGGGGAGGAAGCAGAGTGGCCAGCTGGGACCCTACAAAGAGGGGCTGAAGGTCAGCAGATAGAAAGGAAAGACAATAGGACGATGACAGTAAGACAGAGGACTCCTGGAGGGGATCCCCTGGTGGTGGGACCCCCTAGAGAAAGACAGCTCTCTTATGATCAGCAGCACTCAAGGAGCTGGATGACAAATGATGGGCCTGCAGCTTCCCTGCAAGCCCCCACCTCCTTGGCATGCTTAGTCTGTGGCTCTGGGCCACCAGGGCAAGGCACAGTCTCATGTGGTAACCCCAGATCCCAGAGAAGATCCCCAGAATGATTCTAAACGCCCACTGGGAATTCTCGGGCACAGCTTCCCACAGCAAAGGTCCCCGGAAATGTCCCGCACTTACAAACACTGTAAATACCCAGCCCCCGCCCCAGAGCGTCTGTTTCTGTCTCAGATTTCCTTCCATAAGTTCTTAAACCGTCCACTTCCTATTGCCCACGCATATGCCCATGACTTGCTGGCTGACCTCACCCTCTCTGTGCCCCAGCAGCAGACAGGCAGGAACTCACTGGCTAACCAAAATCCCACAGGAAGGGGACAGCAACCTACAGGTAACTCTGAACAGCCCGGTCCAGGACAGACAGAGGCTGAGCTCAGGCTGGTCCCCTGCTCCTCACTGGGCTCTCAGCAGCCTGACCTGGGCATAGGGCCGCCACTTGATCTCACTCTGCCCGGAGACGATACTTCAGGAGCGTGGCAGGCTGTGCCTGTGCTAAGGTGGCAATGGCACCATGGTCACTCCGGACATCCTGCAATACAAACCCTAAGGACCAGGTGATGAGGACAAGTTCTCACGTCCAGGTCACCAGAACATTCCCAGAGGGCAGTCGTTGGCCTGGGTCTTCGTTTTAGTTCAGGTGGCCCTGGCCTGAGCAGCTTACAAGCTGCCTTCTGCTGCAGCACTGGGTAGGGTGCACGAGCCTAACCGTGAACTCAGCCTGCTGGTCCAGAGCACGCCCTCCCTGCATGAAAGCCAGCATCCAGTGGGACAGCTGCCAGGGGAGTTGCGCATGAATGGCAACCCAAAGACAATCACTTTTGTTCAGCTGGCTATTTTGTCTTGTTTTTTGTTTTTTGTTTTAAATCCTCACCTGATGATTTGTTTAGAGAAGGCGAAGAGAGAGAAACAGAGAAACAACCACATGAGAGAAAAAATACCGATCAGTTGCCCCCTGTATCCACCCTAACTAGGGATCGAACCCACAACCTAGGTGTGTATCTTGACTAGGAATTAAACCTGCAACCTTTTTGGCGTACGGGATGATGTTCCAACTGAGCCACCCAGCCAGGGCTGTGCAGCTGTTTTCAATGCAGCCCAGAGTGACTAATGTTTTCTGTCTTATGATAAGCACTGTGCTCAGTGCTGCACATCTATAACTTCTTTGCAGATGCAGTGGCTGGAGCACCTGGCCAAGGACGTGCTCCTTATACAAATGCCTCTAGTCCCCCCTTTGCACTTGCTCGTACAAGGTGGGCTAAAGATTCTTTAAATAAAGAATGCTTTCTGTGTCTGGCCTAAAAGAGCAAATTTGCGGTGGTGGGGATAAAGCAGCTGTCCCTGCAGGTCTGAGCTGACTTCTCTTTCCACTCTCCACTGCGATTTACTGTCCAAACTCTCGCAGGGTTGCAAACACACATTCATTTCCTATTGTTTCCCATCTGGCTGTTCACCCGAGGCTCTTGCACTCTTTAGAAATGCACGCGTCGGTCTGCGGTCTGCAGACTGAAAGGTCCCAGGTTCGATTCCAGCCAAGGGCATGTACATTGGTTGCGGGCACATCCCCAGTGGGGGGTGTGCAAGAGGCAGCTGGTCGATGTTTCTCTCTCATTGATGTTTCTAGCTCTCTCTCTCTCTCTCCCTTCCTCTCTGTAAGAAAATCAATAAAATATATTTTTAAAAAATGCACCCAAGTATGACCTCTCCTGCCCTTGGGGCCCCTTACAGTCCTCACGGAGCACTGGCCTGTTTCTCCATGAGTCTGGAGTTGGTAGGAAGCTGCTTCAAGCAACTTTGTGTTCCAGGCAAACTGCATGCAGCCAGGACAAAGTAGGTGCACAATAAATTATTTAAAATTCGTTTAAGCCGAAACCGGTTTGGCTCAATGGATAGAGCGTCGGCTTGGGGACTGAAGGGTCCCGGGTTCGATTCCGGTCAAGGGCATGTACCTTGGTTGCAGGCATATCCCCAGTAGGGGGTGTGCAAGAGGCAGCTGATTGATGACTCTCTCTCATTGATGTTTCTAACTCTCTATCTCTCTCCCTTCCTCTCTGTACAAAATCAATAAAATATATATTTTTAAAAATAAAATTTGTTTAAGAGCAGCTCATCTATTCTTATAAATGCAAACAGACAAAAAAGCTTGCACAGATGTAAGGGAATGTTTTTTAAGGGAGGAGATCAACAGGCTCCTTCCAAAAAAGCCAACTCATGTATCTAGTTGCAAAGAGAAGTGGGAAACCCCAACATATTTGTTCAACCCGAGATAAACCCAATCCAACCTCAAAGTTTCCAATCCCTTTACCTGTCAACCCTTAAAGCCAGCTTTATACTTCTGTTTGTAGACTTCAGATAACTTTATGCTATTTGTGGTGCTTTTTAAAATTCTTATCTGAGGATGTGTTTTTACTGATTTTAGAGAGAAAGGAAGGGGGGTAGAGAGAGAGAGACACCAATGTGAGAGAGAAACATTAATCAGTTGCCTCTGGCACACGCCTTGACCCGGGATTGAACCTGCCATCTTTTGTTTCACTGGATGACACTCCAACCAACTGAGCCACAACAGCCAGGGCCAGGTAACTTTCTTTCATTTTTATTATTTTTTAAAATATATTGATTTTTTTACAGAGCAGAAGGGAGAGGGATAGAGAGTTAGAAACATGGATGAGAAACATTGATCAGCTGCCTCCTGCACACTCCCCACTGGGTATGTGCTCGCAACCAAGGTACATGCCCTTAACCAGAATCGAACCTGGGACCCTTGAGTTCGCAGGTCGACGCTCTATCCACTGAGCCAAACTGGTTAGGGCCAAATAACTTTCTTTTAAAAGAGGAAAAAAGACCAGAAATGTCCCAAGAAAATAACAAAGCACGCACATCCCCACCACTGCAAATTTTCTACTTTAAGCCTGACACACAAAACATCTGAGCAGGTTTCTCTCAACTGAAGCTGAGCAGCACCCTACCAGCAAAGGGCCGGCTCTGACCTTCACTGTCCAATGAAGTTCTAAGGGGCGGGGGAAACATAACCATAAGTTCTGGACAAACAGCCCCCTGTCTCTCCTAGTCCTTAAACACTATACAATTACTTGAAGGACAGATCTCGAACAGGAAGAGAAAAAGGAAAGAATAAGCACAAAACAAAATCAGACCAACCAACAAAGTTCATTAACTAAAAAGAAAAAACATTTAAAGACACAAATTGCATACTGACATGTTGGGCACATTTCAACCACCCTGACTTGTTGCTTAGTGTGTCTGGCTGCAATGAATTGCTAAGGGAAACATACTGCAGGTACATATCATTCCTAAGATCGCCCCGAAGTCTGTACTGATCCCTGAAGAGAAGAGGGGCGGAGTTCCTCAGTTAATCTCACTGAAAAAGAAAACTCTGCAACCTAAACTGTTAAACTCTGGGAACTGTCAAACTAATTGCTCATGCGTCTATGACAATTCTAAAAAACAAAAAATACTGCAGAGCTGGATTCACCTGAGCAGAATTCCATTTGCCTTCCCTTTAAAGCCATTTTGGAGTCAACTGCCAGGAACTGTATTAGCTTCGTGCTGTCAAGGACATGACGGCAAGCGTGCTAGCCTGCTCACCTCGCCCATAAAACATCCGAGTGTAATGGCGAATTCCACCTGCTTCTGGGTCCCTGCTGGGCAGCTGGCCCAGAACGTACTCCCAAGACTCAGGACCTAGGTTACGATGATGCCAGCTTCGCCATTTGCCAAGGGAGACCCTGGGCTGCGTTCCCGAACCCGTTGGCGGCTCAGCTTCCTTGTCTTTACAATGGGGATGAACTACCGAGTCCTGACTCACCGAGTCCCTGCGAGGCTCAGCTGGGATGGCGCACTGCGCAGCCCAGGCCACCCCCGGCCCAGCAGAGCGCCTCCATCCAAGGACCTGTGGCCCGTCAGAGCCCAGCACCCGACTCGCAGCGGCCCACGGCCATGCTGCAGCGTGTGCGCCGCCACGGCTGGACCGGCTCCCGGACCGGCTCCCGCGGGAGGGAAGACTGAGGCGCGGACCCAGGGCTGGTCCAGATCAGCAGGAGGCCGCCCCGCCCGGCCGGCGCGGGCCCGGAGGTGTGGAAGTCTCTGCCGGCCGGGCGCGAGGCCTCAGTCTACCGGGGGTTCCTCACCTGGCGGGCGGCCGCGGGCCCTGCCCCGTTCAGCAGCGGCGAGCCCTCGCCGGCCGGCGCCTCGGGCCGTGCCGCCCTCCGCAGCAGCGGCGCCGCCTCGTCGTCATCCCGGTCGCGGCCGGACCAAGACACCTTCTTGGAGACGTTGGCCATGGCCCGCCGCGCCGGCCCCGTGTTTGTTCTCGTGACCCGCGCCGACACCACGTGACCCCCGGAGAGCGGCCGCCTGACTTTGGTGGCGTCCACGTGACCGCGGATGGGGGCGGGGAGGGCAGCCGCGCTGGGCTTTCTGGGAGTTGTGGTCCAGGCGCCCAGCGCGGTGTGGCGGACTGGACCGGGCTCTGCAGCATTCGGGGTCTAGAAGCAGAAGCCCCCTCAGTAGCTCCAGTTTGTTAACCTAGTCCCAGTCCGTCAACACATAGCGAAGAGAAAGAGAACCCGAAACAGGAAGGGAGGGAGAGAGAGAAGGGCCTCTCTCTTCTTTGTAGTAGATACCACCAAATAGTAAGTGTGGAAGGAAGGATGGAATTAGAAACATCGCCATTTGCCACCAACCGTAGAAAGGACTGATGTAGGCCAGAATCGTTAGTGAAAGCTGAAGCCATTGGGTTAAGGTTTTTGGGACACTAGATGTACGCAGTCTCACGGTATCTTCCTGCAGGTTACTTACAGTGAAGAAAGGAAAAGAAACCTGCTGTGAGAAACCTGCTATAAGAAATCTGGTAGACAGACACCATCTGAACCAAGGACAGGCTTAGCATCACCATGATAGACTGGCATCGCCACAGGCCTCCAGAAGTGCTGCACTGGGCAGAGCACAACATCGCTCCTGTGGCAAATACGTTCCTGCCCTGGCTGGTTTGGCCCAGTGGATAGACCCTTGGACTGTGGACTGAAGGGTCCCGGGTTCGATTCTAGTCAAGGGCGTATCAGAAAAGCTTGGTCTCAGGAGATACATACTGAAATATGTGGGAGAATATGTTGTTATGTAATATCTGCAATTTAATCTCAAGTGATTCACAAGGTAATTAATTATAACATGTAGCTACCCACAGAGAGAGAAAATGTGATAAAATGTTAACACGATGAATCTAGGATAAATATTTGTCTCACAACTTTATTTAGGTTTGAAATTTTCCAAAATAAAATTTAATTTATTTAAGGTAAAGGGGTTGGGGGTTGGGGATAACCAAAGGGAAGGACTACACAGCACTGAGCCAAAGGGTATTGGGTCCAGAGTGGCAGCAAAAATATACTTAGGATAGTGAAACAATGAAGGGCATAGGAGAAGTAACAGGAGCGCCTAGGCTGGGTTGCTTTGGCTCACTGGGAAGTCAGAGAAAGAGGGCCTTGGAGACAGATTCAGAGGGTCAGCCCAGGATGAGCTGCCACTGCCCACTGCTCCCCTGGTGGCAAGCCTCATGGGGTCCCTTAGAGGTTAGGGGATATGTGCCTGTGGGAGGGGGAGAAGAGAGGAAAAGGAATGGACCTGGTGTGCTGCTTGGAGGGAGAGCATGCATTGGATCTTTTGTCCTGAGCATATTTCTCTCTCTTTTGCAGGTGGAAATTTGAGGGGAGGCCTCAGGGGAGTACTTTCCAGCTGTGCTCTTTCAGGGTTGTGGCCTTCATTGATTGGTTGGTGGCAGGACAGGAGGTCATTAGTCCATGTAACTGGTCCGGAGGCAGCCAAGGTGTCACTTACCTGGTTTTGCTGCTTTTCAGGTCCTGGAGCTGAAATACATCTGAGGCCTAGATGTTATCTTTAGGGAGGAAAAGGTCAGGGCGTCTAAACCGCCTGATCATTGATATGTAACATCAGAGGTCCAAACTGCACGACCAGTGATATGCTAGGGGAGGATAGGTTACCCTGGGGTGAGGTTCTTGTTTTCCCAGTTTTGCTACTCGCTAGGCATCTACCCTGGTGTGTTTCTGTACCTGCCCATCCTCCCTGCTCTGCTCCTGTCTATCTAACAGTTTTTTAGTCTCTGAGGATGAGAAGATAAGGGAACCCCTTTTACCATATAATTCAAAATAAAACCAAAACTAAAACCAAAATAAGAGGAAGGAGGTCCAACCGGTTTGTACATTTCCCCAGGATTATTGGGCAACACTTTTTAGGAAATACTAAAAACAAGGTTTTTTCCAAAAAAGGCGTTTCCTCATTAGTATGACCTTGCTTTGCCCCTTCCAGCGATGGTTTCCAGAGCGCTGGCCCCCCCATTAGTGTATGAGGGCACAGAGGCTGGGAAGGGAAGCTGGTTCACACAAGGCCCTGAGCAGCAGGCAGGGTTGGACCCGACTGATTTGACTGACTGGAGTGGCTGAGTGTGGTTTGTATGAAGGCACCCAGGCAGGCAAAAGAGCTGAGCAGAGCGCGGGGGTGGGGGTGGGTGAGTGGAGGATGAGAACAGTCCCTGGAATGGCCGACTTGTGCGCGAAGAGTGGCCCATCCCTGTGGCTAAACAAGGCAGGGCTGGTCCCAAAGGTCGCCCCTGTCAGACAGGTGAGGAGCCTGAACAAGTGGCCCTTTCAGAAGACAAATGGGCCAGGGTAGGAAAGGGGTGGGGGAGGGAAAACACAGCCAAGGCATCTTGTCAGGACCCAGCTTTCACCGTAGGAGGAGAAGGAGGGCTTTGGGTCCTCTTGTCCTCCTTACCCAGAAACCCAACAAACTCGGGTCAAAGGTGAGATGTGATGGGTCAGGTGGACGTGGCACTTGCTTCAAAATGTATATGGACTTTGCTGCTGATCCCACAAGAATGGTGGATTATGTGAGGTCATCAGACTCCTCTGCTCCAAAACCTGAACAGTCTCTCCTTGTCCTGTGGGACAGAGCCCAGACCCCTTAGCTGGACAGGCCAATCGGTATCAAATTCCCAGCCATCTGAGCTCCCATCAAGCTGTTTCAACCCCTACCCCAAGCCCTCGCTGCAGCCACTTTGCACTCTTGGATGGCCCCATCCCCACAAAATGTCCCAAATGCATAGCCCGGAGTGAATACCCCCTCCACCAAATTCCTATGGCTTTAGGGTCTTCAGATGCTGCTGCCGTGAAGGGTGACTTAAGTCCCCCGCAGCATTGTAAGCACCCAAAAGCAGGGGAAGGCTGAACCAGTTTGGCTCAGTGGATAGAGTGTTGGCCTGCGAACTCAAGGGTCCCAGGTTCGATTCCGGTCAAGGACATGCACCTTGGTTGCAGGCACATCCCCTACTGGGGATGTGCAGGAGGCAGCTGATCGATGTTTCTCTCTCATTGATGTTTCTAGCTATCTATCCCTCTTCCTTCCTCTCTGTAAAAAATCAATAAAATATATTAAAAAAAAAAAAAAAAAAAAGCAGGGAAGAGGTGGATGTATTGCCCTGTATGATCTTTTAATGCCACGGACCTTGCTGTCCCTTGGGAAATAGTAATCAAATTGCCAGACATCCTGAAGGAAAGATGTCATCCCACCTCCCTCAACACCAGGCTGGGATGGAGTAAGGGCTCCAGAAAAGTCCAGAGGAGACGGGTGTGTCCTTGGGACAGTGCCGAGGGAAGCATAAGCCAGTGACCCAGGGGGCCTTCACGAGGCCACCCAGGGGGTTTCCAGGTCCAGAATGCCTCCTCTGACCTTGACTCATGTAAGGTGGCGTTGGCAGTGGGGGGCATGGAGTTGAGGGGGGTTGGGGGCTCTGGGCTAAGTCAGCTGAAGGCCTGGAATTGCTGGGGCCACAAAGACCCAAGGGACTAATTTAGGGCACCTCCCTCCAGAGAGAGGAGGTGTATTTGGGTCTTCTTGGGGGAAATGCCAGGATTATAGGGTTAACTTACATTACACTGAAACATAAAGTAAACCATGCCTGTTCTAATTGCCAAGACATTTTTTAAAATGTAATGCCCTGTATGATCTTTTAATATAATGATTCTACAAAAGGAAAAGTTACGCCAACGATGGAGGTTTGGCCCCCGCTGGCGGTGCCCTTGCTTTCTGAAGTGGTGGGGAGGGTGGCTGTGGCCTTCGGGGCTGGGATGAGCCGTGCTCTCGCGGAGGCAGGGGAGCCGAGCCGGAGCCATGGCCAGTGCAGTGGGAGCGGTTGGACTGACCATTGCTGCTGCAGGATTTGCAGGCCATTATGCTTTGCAAGCCATGAAGCATATGGAGCCTCAAGTAAAACAAGTTTTTCAAAGTCTACCAAAATCTGCCTTCAGTGGTGGCTATTACAGAGGTGGGTTTGAACCCAAAATGACAAAAGGAGAAGCAGCATTAATACTAGGTGTAAGCCCTACCGCCAATAAAGGAAAAATAAGAGATGATCACCAACGAATTATGCTTTTAAATCAACCAGACAAGGGAGGATCTCCTTATACAGCAGCCAAAAATCAATGAAGCTAAAGATTTACTAGCTAGTCAAGCTAAAAAATGAAGTAAATGTCTGGTCAATTTTAAGTTGTTAGTCATGTATATGAAAACAGCTTTTTGTAATACAATGTCCCAAAGCTACACATTTTAAACATGATTTAGCACAAAAAAAAAAAATATCAAGTGTTGGTAAGAGTGTGGAGAAATGGGAACCTTAATACATTGCTGGTGGGAATGTGAAATGATACAGCCACTTTGGAAACCAGTTTGGCAGTTTCTTTAAAGGGTATATATGAATTTACCACATTATCCAGCAATTTTAACCCTTAGGTATCCACTGGAGATAAATAAAAGTACATATCTAGACAAAGACTCATATGAGAATGTATATAGTAGCTTTATTCAAAATAGCTCCAAACTGGAAACAATCCAAATACCCATCAATTGCTGAATGGATAAGCAAAATTGGCCCACTACAAGAGAATGTAATTGAGCCATAGGAGGGGATGAAGCACTGACACACGCACTATAAGATGAATGAACCTGGAGAATGTTTGCTGTGTGAAAGAGGCCAGAGTCAACAGGACAACCTCTGCATGATTCCATTTCCTGGAAATGTCCAGAACAGGCAAACCCACAGACGCAGAAGCATACCAGGGGTTACCAGAGCTGAGGGGAAGGGGCTGGGTAGAGGCAGCAGTGATCATTAATTGGCATGACTTTTTCAGGGGAGGGGGCCACAGAAATATTCTAAAACTGGATTGTGAGGATGATGGCACAATTTGGCAAATTTACTAAATATCTTTGAACTGTACGCTTAAAATTAGTGATTCTTACAGGATGTGATTCTACCCCAATACAGTTGCTTTCAAAGCATTTCCTGTCCATCGTTCATGTTTATTTCTGAGTAGACTCTGCTCCCTGCAGGTCCCCTCTCCTAGAGGCTTAGGTAACCTCAACAGCCATCACAGGGCCTTGAGGGGACCCCCGGGACTCCCAGGGAGTGGGGGGCGGTGGTGTTGGGGGCCAGGAAATGAATTCTCGGCCATTTTCGTGAGACGTAGGAACAAGGGCCACCAAAGGGAACTTCCACAGCCACCCCAAGAGGCTTTGGTGACAGCTCACATGCTGCCTGTGCAATTTCTGGGAAAGCAGTTCTCACAGAAGCAGCCTGTAATGGGAGTGGCCCCGCGTCCCAAGGAGGCCCCGCGGGGGCCCAGCACTCCCATCAGCCTGGCCCGGCCTGTTAAAACGGTGGCATACCACAGAGGGACAACTGCAAGGACGCTTCCAAGAGGGAAAGAATGCAAATCTTAGGGACCCTGGGGTGAGGGTTCTTTGTCCCCTCATCCCCACAATGGAACGCCCACATTCTACATTAGACGCCAGGTGTGCCTGGCCCAGGGGCAGCATCCTGCCCCTCGCTCCCCAGTCTGGTTGGGAGCCCTCCGTGGAGTGTGCTGGGGTCAAGGATGGCTGAGCACAGCTGGAGACTTGCTCCTCTTGCCAGTCCAGAGCATGACCACAGCTCCGGGGGTTGGGGGAAGGTGACACCTCATGGGCAGAGCTCCAGGCAGGTGCAGTTCACCCTCCGCACAAATCCGCCTATCGAGGCGGCATTGGCCAGTGTGAGGATGGCGCCCGGCGGGAACTCCTTCCCCGTGGCTAGGTGTGAGACTTCCCCGGGGACCAGCGCCCGGTCCCATATGGCGAGGCCAGCCACGCTCCCCACGAAGGCCTCCGAGCTATCAAACCCACCCCCTACAGTGTCTTGCTCCTGGCCCAGCACCAGGGACCCCCCGGGGGGGATCTCATAGCCCTCCCTGAAGCGGGAGCCGGTGGCCACCAGCCTGCGGTCCACGTGGAGCCAGTACCTGCCCAGGAGGGAAGTCCAGATGACACACATGTGGTGCCACTGGCCGTCCAGCAGCGGCTGCAGAGGCAGCTCCCTGAAGGCCGGGTCTCCGATCACAAAGTGGATGGAGCCAGGGGCCAGCGAGTCCCGGCCGTGCAGCACCAGCTTGTTGTCGTTCTCGGCGGTGGCGTAGGAGAGGAGGGTGCCCAGGCGGCCTGAGGCCGTTCGGACCCAGCTGCACACAGACAGGGCCCGCAGGCCTGAGAGGAAGCCGGGGCTCAGGAAGACCACGTTCTCCGTGGAGGTGTTTGGGAAGACGAGTGCAGGGCCCACGTTGCAGACTGGAAACAGAGGAGGGGGGCGGGAGAGTCAGCTCAGGCACCACAAGGTCACCCAGAAACACCCAGAAGCTTCCAGAAACAACCAGAAACATACATGCTGCAGGCTTTTCCTAAGGCTTTTCCCAAGGCCCCAGCAGCTGGCTTTCATCAGGCACTAACTGTGAGGGCTGCGTCTGACAGGCAAGAAGACGGAGACCAGGCAGTCACGTGCCTTGCTAGGGGGCAGGCCGCGACCCACACTCCTCACCACGAGGGAGCCTCTCTGTGAGTCTCCTGCGGCTGCTGCGAGAATTCTCCATAAACACAGATCTTATACCTCAGTCCTGGAGGTCAGAAGTCCAGCACAGGTCTCCCTGGGCTAGAACCATGGTGCTGGCAGAGCTGGTTCCTTCTGCAGGATCCATGGACAAGCCCGTTCCTGCCCTTTCCAGCCTCCAGAGACGCCCACCTTCATGGCTCAGGGCCTTTCCTCCATCTTCAAAGTATATCCCTGGGCCCTCTGCTGCTGTTGTCCGACCATCCTCGAACCCTGATGCTCCGCCTCCCTCTTATTTAGGAACACTGCGATGACCCTGGGCCACGCCATCATCCAGGGTCATCTCCCATCTCAAAATCACAACTGCATAGTCCACTTTGCCACATGAGGTGACATAGCCACAGGGTCCCAGCGTCAGGACATGGACGTGTTTGGGGGCCACCATCCTGCCCACCAGACTTCCTGCCAGGTCAGCCTGTCTGCGTGTGGGGTGTGGGGTTGGGGGTGAGGATGGGAGCAGGGGGAGCCTCCAGGTGCTGCACCTGGTCTGAGGTACTGACTGGCAGGTTGGGGCAGAGCCTGGGAACATGCTTTTCTAGCCCATCATCCCACTGAGTTAGAGGATGGAGGGCCTCCAGCACCTCTCTCTGCCTTGGGGGCTCCTGTCATAATCTAGGGCAGCGGTCCTCAACCAGAGGTGACGGTGCCCCAGGGACATCAAGCAGGGCCTCCGTTTCGCAGGAGCCTGGCAGTTCCCGAGAGGTCAGCGGGTCGATCTTGTCTTACTGGTGAAGGGAAATCCTGATTCAAATTAAGGGGCCCCAGAGGCTGCTAAACAAGACAGCGGAGGCAGCCTAGACAAAAATACAAGTCAAAGATAGAGGGGCCCTAGTGGGTGGAGGCCGGGGGTGCTGCTAAATGCCCTACAAAGCCTGGGGCAGCCCCCACAGCGAAGGACCGTCTGGCCCCAAAGGTCAGTACTGCTTTAGTCGAAAAGCCCTCACCTGGGAAATCAGAACTGACTTTTCAAAGGCCCGGCCCTCCACAGGCGGGCACAAGCCCCACGGGGTGCCAGCTGAGCCAGGGCCTTGCAGAGGCTCGTGTGGCGATAGCTGGAGCATCGGAGGGATCCTGCCAGCCCGAGTGAGGCCAACCCCTAACGTGGGGTGGCCTGTGCTAATGCCAGGCAGCACCCCACGTGTGCATTCACCCCTCATGCCCAGGCTAAGGGTTGGCCTGACCAGCTGGGGACCCACAGACTGGCGGTCACCGGGATGGCCCCTTTCTTCTGGGCTGGGGTATGTGGGGCATGAGCCAGTGTTCTCTCCACACAGGACAGGGGAGAGGCTTCTGGAGCGGACAGAGGCCAATGCCTTAGTCAGTGAGAGGGAGAGTGGGGGTGGATAAGGGAAGGCAGGCCCATGGTACTTACTCTCTCCCAGGCTCTCAGGGCGCCATGCCCGCTGGCTGCCTGGGCCTGGCGGCTCCCGTGTCCCCTGGAGACGGCCAGCAAAATCCCGAGGTGGGCCCAGGGGCTCCGGCGAAGTTCTGAGCACCTGCCTGTCCCCCTGCAGCTCCAGGGAGCTTTGGCTTGGCAGCCCAGGCCGGGCAGGGTCTGTGGTGCCAGGGCAAGCCACTGGACGCCACTCCTTGAGAGCATCCAGCCTGACGCCCTGGCTCTGGACAACGCCAGTCAGGCGAGCCAGCGTGTCCTGCAGGGCTCGCATGTCCAGGGCCAGGCTGGACAATGCCTCCCTCTGCGCCGCCTGCTCTTTCCTCTCCCGGGTGAGCTGCTGGGTCCTCTCCCGCAGGGCGGCACCCAAGGCCAGCAGCCTGGAGTCCACCTTCTGGCTTCTGCGTTGTGTCTTCCGAATCCAGGTTTTGAGGTGGCCCAGGTCGCCCTGCACAGTGGCCTGCGACTGGTTGACCGCCAGAGCCAAGGCCTGGCTCTCCTGGGCCAAGCTCTGGAACCGGGCATCGATGCTGTAGGACAGGTTGTAGTTCCTGGCGACGGCTTGCAGGTGTATTAAGGTCACCTCCTGGAACCTCCGGAACTGCAAAGGCACACGGCAGCCGTGGGGGCAGGGCCCGGGAGGGCTCCGAACAAGCCTTCCCTGCCATGCTTCCGTGGTGCCTACCAATGGCCGGCCAACGGCCATGGCCAGCCCCATCCCAGCTGGGTTCAGGGAGGAGGGGGGAGGGAGGGGGGACCAGCTCAAAGTCATCGGTAGCCCTGTGTTGGGTGAGGGCTTCAGGCCATCAGCCTGGTCCCCCAGGCTTCACCCCTGACCCTCAGGGTCCTCCCTGTGGGTGGGCGGACACCAGGATGGGCTGAGAGAACTGGGTCAAAGTGGGGAGCACTGGAGGCCCATTTGGGGCGGGGAACTGGCTACAGACCCCCATGGGAGTGTCTGCTCCACAATGGATTGCAGACCTCACCCGCTGCCCAGTGCTGCTACCTCCTCCACTCCCCTGCCTTGTCCGTTTCTCTCCCCCCCCCATGCCCTCCCCCCTATAGATCCAACAGCCTGGTTGCACCCCTGGGGACTTCCTACCCCCCTCCCAGCCTCTGACTCCTACCCAGCCCTCATGTGTCAGAACCCTTACTTGTCCGCAGAACCCGGGCCTGGGGAACCTTTCTGCTGGCTTCCAGCCACGGGGGAAAATAACATCAGCTGATAAAAAGAACTACAAACTCCACGCCTGTGTCCACAGAGCGCCAAGGCTCACCACTCCATTTCCGTCTGTCCTTCTGTTGCCAATTAAAAACAAAACAAACAAAACAAAAACGGTGGGTGTTTACCTGTTCCTCCAGCCTGCGGAGCCTCTCGAAAAACGGTTTTCTTTGCCCTGCAGGGCCGGCTTCCTGCGACCAAGCTCCATGCAGGTAGACAGGCACAAAAACAAGAAGGAAAGACAGGGCGGTCCCTCCTGGGCAGCCCATTCTGAGAAGAGCAGCGGGAGTTGCCACCAACGTGTAGGATGCTGCCGCCTGCCTGGTGCTCCTGCCTAAGCCTGTGCTCCCTCCAGCTCTCAGTGGAGAAATGTCCTTTTTTGACTCTGGCTGGGAGTCAGATACTTCCTGACACCAAATGAAAGGCATGTGCCTCCCAGCCCACGGGCTCGGGAGAGTTAGGGGTTCCCAAGGAGACAAGCTTAAAACAGATGCGTTGTCTTTGGAAAATAGCTCCATGGGGCGAAGGCCCTGGTCCGGCTGGCGTGGCGGCGGCCGGGGTGATTGCTTTCGCAGGAGCACAGGGACTCATGTTCCCACCAAAGGAAGTAAAAGCAGGACACAGGACCTGGCTGGGGCCAGCGGGTCCTTGGATCCAAGTCTGTAGTGGGACCCAGCACCGCACCAGGAACAGGGCATCCTATGAGGACATCTCTCCCTCGTGTAAGACAAAGGACATGGGACCGGGAGCCGCCGTAATTTATTTTGGGGACAGGTTGTATAGTGGGCTGGATGGTGACCCCCAAAATGTAGGTTCAAGTCTTAACCTCTATATCAGTACTTGTGAATGGGACCTTATTTGGAAAATGGTCTTTGCATGATGTAGTCCCCCTTTTATTTTCTTTTAAAAAAATATATTTTACTGACTTTTTACAGAGAGGAAGAGAGAGGGATAGAGAGTTAGAAGCATCTATTAGAGAGAGAATCATCGATCAGCTGCTTCTTGCACACCCCCTCCTGGGTACGTGCCCACAACCAAGGTACGTGCCCTTGACCAGAATCGAACCTGGGACCTTTCAGTCCGCAGGCTGATACTCTATCCACTGAGCCAAACCGGTTTCGGCTAGTACCCCTTTTTTGTCGCCCTATTGACTCTCTCCTGCTGAATGTGAAAGCTCAGCCAAGCATCACCAGACACTTGGAAACCTCTGAAAAGAGTGACAGAAATCTGCCCAAACAGTGAAGAGACCCAGGAGACCATGCAGAGAGCCAAGGAAAAGCTCAAAAAGGTTCTAATCAATACCCTTAGGAAAACAAGAAAAGTGTTGTGTTCATAAGGCAAGTAGTGGGTGCTACGAAGAATGTAATCAGAAAGGAAGTTGCTCTTGGAAATAAAAACGATGATGCACAGCTAGCGTGGCTCAGGGGTTGAGCGTGGACCTATGAACCAGGATGTCTCATTCAATTCCCGGTCAGGGCACATACCCAGATTTTGGGCTTGATCCCTTGTGTGGGCTTGCTTGAGGCAACCGATCAATGATGATATTCTCTCTCTCTCTCTCTCTCTCTCTCTCTCTCTCTCTCTCTCTCTCTCGCTTCCTCTCTGAAATCAATAAAAATATATACTAAAAAAAATAAAAATAAAAACTATGATACCCCCACCTTCCCACACACAGCTGAAAGGCAAAATTAAAGCAATTGCTCAGAAAGTACAGTTCCTCTCATCAAGTGCCAGGATACCCAGGACAGGGGATCTGAAAAGTGTCCAGGCAGGACACCTGGTCACACAGGAAGGACTGAGACTTTCTGCAGAGCACTGCTGGCCGTCTCAGCAGCAGTGCTGGCTGCCAAAGAAAGAGGAGCAACCCTTAACATTACTGAGCGAAAATGGTTTTAAAATTTTAAAATTGTGCGCCCCCTCAAGTGTAAATTGACCTGGAGAAAAGAATAAAGCATTTTTCAGATTTGTAAAGGCTTAAGAAGTTGATCTTCTGGGCACTGTTTTGTGAGAAGTTATGGAATCATAGGAAAGCAGAGAAATAGAGGATGATTGCAGTTGCTGTAGGAAGTGGAGATCCATAAGTGGACTGGGAGGAATTTCCAGAGAGTCTCAAGATGTCACCATCCTCACTCCTCCCTCCCTGTCACACCCCACCTTCAATCCATCACTTCTATTCAGCAGAAATATCCTAATCAGCCAGTTTTCACCACCTGGCCCCCACAAGCCACCCAGCTGGCTCCCTGAATCCCCTATCGTCCATTCTCCCAATTGCACCCAGAGTGGACGTTTTAAAATGATTCAGCCATTAGTCACTCATTTCCTTACCCGCTTATTTTTTCCTATAACTATTTGCCATTTGGTGTATTGCTCATGTACTTTATTTTCTCACTTGATATATGAGAAGGAACTTTATCTGCTTCATTCTTTTACCTGGAAGAATGCTTGTTGCACACAGCAGGCAATTTAATTAATGTAAGTTGAAGGAATAAATGTTTCCCAGATTTTTTTCACAAGGACATACAGGCCGTGATTTTCAACCGGTGTGCCACAAGAATTTTTAAAACATGCAATACCTGACTATTTAGTTGGGGCACTGACCTCTTTCCCCTTATACTGTCAAATAAAAAACAAAAAACGACAACAGTCAACACAATAGCACCCGGTGTGAAAGAATCAAAATTATACTTATTTTTGTCAGATCTTCCAATAATATTTTTTGGTGTGCTGCAGAATTTTAGTAATTAGTTGATGTGTACCACGAGATGAAAAAGGTTGACAATCACTGGTCTGGGCTGAAATGGCACATTCTTGTGAAGTCTTCCCGGATGACTCCCGGGGGCTGCCCGTAGGCGCTTCTGCCCAGACGGAAGGTAGCCTACCTGCGCTGTGCACTGTGGCGGCTACTGCCTACAGGCGGGGCTGGCGCGACCAAGGACCTGACCTGCTCCTTTTATTTGATTTCAGCTCATTTCCATAGCCACTGTGGCTGCTGGTCACGGGCTGATCGTGCAGCTCCTATTCCAGGGCCTGGCTCACAGCGCTGCAGTCATGAATCCCCATCCCAGCCCGGTTGTTACTGCTTCCGGGTGTGCAGTGCGTTTTCCCGTCACGGTCGTATCCTGGAGCGCAGGGCCTTGCCTCGGGACGGTCGGTGCTCCAGCTGGTGTGGAGGCGCGAACTGGGCTCCGGAGCTGAGCGAGGGCTGGAGATCACTCCGGGTAACCAGGACATGCTGGGAGGAGAAGGGCGCCCCCTTGCGCCCCGAGGAACCCTGCTCCGAGCCAAGTCCCGGCGCGTGGCCCCACCCACAGGGGACCTCCCCGCCTCGCCCCGCCCCGCCGACACAGGCCCCGCCCCCTGTCTAGCGCAGGCGCAGATACTGCGCCAGCTCCCGCCCCTTCTGGCTTCCGGGCTTCTCGGATTGGTCGGGGCCGGTCAGCTGACCCACGAGCTCCAAGAAGTTCCGCGGCAGCGCTCCGGGCCGCGCGCTGGGGACCAGCCTGAGCCGGGTCTCGGCGACCCCAGTGAACGGGCAGCGGGTCCACGGCGGCCGCGCGGGGTCTGAGCGCTCCGCGAGGCCCTCCTCCCGGCCCGGAGACCCCTCCCGCCCCACGAGGCCCCTCCTGTCACTCCACGAGGTGGGCTGCTGCCGCATGCTGGGGAGGGGGCGTGGGACGCGCTGGTCGCTGCGCTGTTAGCCACATGCACAGCGCGTCCCGCAGCCCTCAGACCCGGCTGGGCCGGGAGACACCAGGCTCTGGGGCACCCCGTGGGGCCCCTAATACATCCTTCCAAGAGGCTGGGGGCACTGATAACAGACTGGCGCCTGCTTAACGGTACTTAGTCCTGCCTGGGGCGCTCGACCAGAAATAAATACTACTCACAGCCGGTGGTGGTTTCTGAAAAGGAAGACGAATGAAAGTCGGAAGTGCACTGATGGGTGCCTCTAGACCGGGTCTCCCAACCTCAGCACTGTTGACATTTGGTTTGGAGAATCCTCTCTTGGGGGGACTGTCTTGTGTATGTGGAATGTTTACCAGCATCCCTGCCCCTGCCATCTCCAGTTACTGGCATGTGTCCCCCCCCTACGGGTTGACCTGCTACTGTAGAGAGTGCCATAGAGGGCCTCAGGGCCTGAAAAGGACTCTTGGTGAAAACTGTGCAAGAGGTGGGAGGGAGAGGATACTGCTGGGTGACAGTAGGGGTGAAGAGGAATGAGGTCCCAGGAAGTTTACTTAGTAATAAGAGGCCAGAGGGTGGCGGTGTCTGAGTGCGTGGGAGATGCTTCCTTCTCCGAGACTGGGTCCCGTGTGGATGATGCCCACGGCTCCATGCACTTTCATGTCCTTCCCTGTGAACAGGATGGATCCAGTGCTGTCTTCGGTCCGGCTCACTGTCCGGGAGGCGGTCCACACCCTTTCATCTTCTGAGGATGGAGGCTGCATCGTCTCCACCCTGGAGTCCCTGAAGCGTTATCTCGGAGAAACGGAGAATCCGGCCCTCCCTGCGGAGCAGGAGGAGTTTGCCAGGGTCCACTTTTCTGCCCTTCTCAGATGTCTGGTCAGCAAGCTGAGCCCGGACTGGCTGGGGCTGCTGCCTGATGGCCAGTTGGAGGAGTTGTGGGCCAGCTTCTTCCTGGAGGGCCCAGCTGACCAAGCCTTCCTGGTGCTGATGGAGGCCCTAGAGGACACCCCTGGGTGAGTGGGGCTGGGGCTCACTACGGAGTGGCTTGTCCCATCCAAAGCATAAGCAAGGCCTGAAGGATTGCAAACCAGTCACAGGGCACCTGCAAATTAAAACCCTGCGACGAGGGGGTTTGAGTCCCTGTGGCTGAGGCTGTGGGTTAGCTCCAGACGGAAGTGTCGGGTGGTATTGCATCGCCATCGCCCTCTCCTTCACCCCGTGGCTCCCAGATTTGCAGTGAGGCACTTAGGTGCCCCAGCAAGCTCATGGGACCCTTCACTTGGGGTGGGTCCTAGATTCCACATCAGAGTACAGGACAGCCCTTGTGGGGTGCCTGGTTGGAAGGCGGGGTTGCTGAAGAAAGCAAGCACCATATGAGAAGCACTGCCAGGAGAGGGCGACGGTGTCCAGTGTGATTCCAAGGCAGGAGGCTGCCCTGGGCCCAGCAGGGGCTTGTGCCCTGCTGGTAATCTCAGCTATAATACTTAGTGAGATTTAAATTCTCTTCCTTTCAGTGTATGTGGAGGGAATAGTTAAGTTGTTGGGATTCCCTGTTCAATGACGGCTGTTGCTACTCTCATCGGCCGAGGATGATGAGGATGGAGGGGGTTGGGGTTCTACCCATCACACCTGCTCTGGTTCAGTCCCAGTTTCCGTCTGATGAAGATGGCAAGGTTGCTGGCGCGGTTCCTGAAGGCGGGCAGGATGGCCGCTGTGATGGAGGGGCAGTGCCGGCAGCAGGCCGAGCTGGCCTTTCCTCTGCTCCAGGAGGCGCTCCTTGTCAGGGTGGTGGGCTTGCCCGACCGCCTGGGCAACCGCCTGCAGCACGAGAACCTGGCCGAGTTCTTCCCTCAGCGCTACTTCCCGCTGCTCGGGGAGGAGGCCGTGCGGGTGCTGCAGGCCGTCGTGGACTCTCTCCGAGGTGAGGGTCCCCTCGCCCCCCCAAAGTGGCCCTCTTCCAACCACTTTTGGATCTGCCATCTCCTTCATCTCCGTGGCCTCTGGGCACTGTGGGCGGTGCTGTTGGTGGGTCAGACATTGTCTCTTGTTTGGGTAATGAACCACATGCTGAAGCTTTACCCACTTCTTGGCTGTTGACTTTGGAGGTAGAGCCGACTTTTTTTTCTTTTTTCTTTTTAATATATTTTTATTGGTTTCAGAGAGGAAGTGAGAGGGAGAGAGATAGAAACATCAGTGATGAGAGGAAATCATGGATTAGCTGCCTCCTGTACATCCCCTGCCCCCCACTGGGATCAAGCCCGAAACGTGGGCATGTGCCCTTGACCGGAATTGAACCTGGGACCTTTCAGTCCGCAGGCCTATGCTCTATCCACTGAGCCAAACTGGCTAGGACATGATTTCTTCAGTTCTTGGGTGGACATTGGCGAAGCCACCCAGATGGGTGTTCACTGCTGGGCTCTTAGTGTCAATGGGAACATCTGGAAACTTCTTCCTGTGACAAGGGCTCATCTGACCTGGCTGTTGCCTCTGGGCTGCCTGTCCTTTTTTTTTTTTTTTTTTTTTAAATTTTTTTAAAAATATATTTTATTGATTTTGTACAGAGAGGAAGGGAGAGAAATAGAGAGTTAGAAACACCGATGAGAGAGAATCATCGATCAGCTGCCTCTTGCACACCCCCTACTGGGGATATGCCCGCAACCAAGGTACATGCCCTTGACTGGAATTGAACCCGGGACCTTTCAGTCTCCAAGCCGACGCTCTATCCATTGAGCCAAACTGGTCCCGGCATGCCTGTCCTTGTTAGCTCGAGTCTCTCAGTGTCTTTGTCACTGGTCATCTTGGCTGCCTGGAGGGGCGCTATGGGACCGGGTTCTTGTTCACCCCTTCATCACGTCTTTGAAGCGTCATTTGTGGGGTCAGGAGTGTCCAGCACTCCAGCAGCTGAGGTGGTGGAGCCGGTGCCACGGCAGGTGCTGCTCAAGGCCCTTCACGCGTGTTTCTTCACGGAAACCCAGGACTCAGCATCCGTGTCTAGGGGGAGGGACCCACAGCGAGGGGAGGCTTTTATCTTGCCAGGCCTCCCAGCCCCACTGCCTTTTCTGGGTGATGGATGCACTAGGATGTTCTGAAGGTACTTAGACTGTTTGGTGGACTTCACTGGTCACAAGCTAGAGCGATCCCATTACGATTATGGTTGGTTCAGAGCGAATGAGTTGGCATGTTTGTGACACGAAATCCGCCTGCTCAGGTGCCCCTCTCTAGATCACAAACTCCGAATCCCTATCGTTCCCACTGTGCGTGGGTCCTGTCTGAAACCTGGCTGGGTCCATCATCCTGGCTGATCTCGTGGAGCCGGTATCGCCCACCCTCCTTGGTTCCTTGACTCCTCCCTTCCCCTCTGTGGGCGGCTCAGAGCCCTACCTGTGTCCATGAGTAGCTGACCGCCTCAGCCAGGCTTCTCTCAGTGCTTCTCCTGGTGCTACCATACTCATCCCTACTTCGGAGGATCCTTGTGACAGCTAAGTGGGCAGAGAAGTGTAACGGTTTTTAAACAGTTATTGCTGGCTCTTCAAGTTAGAACAATCCTGTTATGATTATGGGTGGTGTAGAGCGAATGAGTTGACATGTTTGTAACACGGAGTCCGCCTGCCTAGGAAAGAGGGCTGGCCCTACCTGTCAGGTATCCTTTGATAGCCTTACCGGAGCTATCCTTTACAACCACCTTTTCCTTCCTGTCCTAGGCGGCTCAGACTGCTCTGTCTCCTTTGTGTCCCAGGTCGTGGGGAAAGCCTGTGTCTACGGGAGGCAGAGTGAGTGTTTCCCGTCTGGGAAGAAGCCACAGCATGGCCTGGCCCCCTCCCCTTTCCTCCTGGTGGCTGTCCCCAGGGGACGGAGGGTGGGAGCATTGCTGTGTGTCCTGAAGCCGCAGCGGTCCCCTTGCCGGGGCCTGGTCGTGGGTGGGCTGACGCCAGCTGTCCTGGGATCCTTGGTGGGTGGGGGCTTGGCTATGCAACCAGTGGGCCTGTGGGCTGCAGATACTGGACGCCCCACGGCCCTGCTTGCTTTCCCGCAGAGGAGATCCTGGGCGTGCTGGTGCCCAGGCTGACGGCACTCACCCAGGGCAGCTGCCTCTGGCAGCGGGTCTGCTGGCGCCTGGTGGAATGCGTGCCCGACCGGGCCATGGAGGCCGTGCTGACGGGGCTTGTGGAGACTGCCCCTGGGTAAGAAGCAAGGTGCCCTTCCCACTGTAAATGCTTCTCTTCCGAGAAGGCGGAGGGTGGGGGCCAGGCGACACCTTACCTGCCATCCCTTTGCGTGTAGTCAGTGTCTGGTCCTCCGTAGGGCAGGCTGGCAGCCCTGCTCCAGGTGAAGTGTTTCACCTTCGATGCAGTCTGATGCATTGAGGTGCTGGGCTCTCCCGGCTTCCGTGTTTATCAGGAAGAGGGAGACTCAGGACCCACTGGCAGCTGAGACACTCCCCCGGGCTCCCCGGGGTTCGTGCAGAGCCCAGGATCCAGCCCAGCACGTTAAAACTCCCTCCGCCCTCACCTGTGCCGCACAGGCCTCACGCTCTCTCTCGGCTGCTGGGGAACCTGGTGTTGAAGAGTAAGAAGGCCCGCTTTGTGATGACCCAGAAGCTTCTGTTCCTGCAGTACCGACACACGGTGAGTGCCACACGGTGGGCTGCGGGCCACCGCCGGCCCCGGCCCCAGAGAGATGACTGGCAGGTGTAGCCGGAACAGTGCTCTTTCTGGGAAATGCCTGTCCGTTAGCCCGGACCCGTTCCTGCTCCGGGAATCTGGCACAGACACCCCGTGGCTCCCTGGGCAGCTCTGGCCATGCAGGCGGCAGGCGGGGGGTGTCCGCCTGGCAGACGGCGACGCGATGCCCGGCTTCTTTCGCAGACGCCTGCGCTGCAGAGCCTGCTGGGATACCTGGCCATGGACAGCCAGCGGCGCCCACTCCTCCTACAGGCGAGTCCCGTCTGGCCCTCAGTCCCTGCGGCGCCCCAGTGGGACGGGGAGGGAGCATCCTGCCCGGGCCGGAGGGGAGGCAGGGGGCCGTCTGACCAGGCCAGGGTCGTGCTGCCCGCCAGGCGCTGAAGGAGCTCATGGAGACGTGGGGCAGCAGCAGCGCCATCCGCCACGCACCCCTGGATCAGCAGCGCTACGTCAGCAAAGCCGTCCTCATCTGCTTGGCGCACCTGGGGGACGCCGAGCTCCAGGACAGCCGCGACGGTGAGCGGGCGGCCCGGGCACCCTGTCCCCGGTGCCCCCCTTCCCCTACGGCACGTTCAGCGTGGATGCGTTGGTCTTCCCAGAGTTGCTGGCCAGCCTGATGGCAGGAGTGAAGTGCCGCCTGGACAGCAGTTTACCGGCCGTGCGCCGCCTGGGCATGATTGTGACTGAGGTGGCCAGTTCCCGGATCCACCCTGAGGGGCCCCCCCTGAAGTTCCAGGTGAGCGAGCGAGGGCCGTGGCCTCCCCAAGCTGCTCGCTCCAGCCTCGATGTCGCCTCACCTTCCTGGGTCTGTGCCCACGGAGCATCGCTCTGTTAGTGCGGACTGGCCTTGGTGGCCCTCCTGAGGGGTCATAGCGTAGAGGGAGTGGAGCATCGCCCCTCATCTATGCCCGAGCAGGTCCCCCAGGGGATGTGAGGGTGTTAACTCTCAGGTCATCCTAGGCATGCCCTCCTCTCCGTGCACTGACCCCTCAGGGCATTGCCACGTTTACTGTGTCCTGGAATTCTCATTCTCCTCTCCCTCAGGACGGGTGGGCCCTCTGGCCTTCCGTACGCCCAGCGCGGCCCTCTGCAATGTGGAGCCTTAGCAGGCTGCTCTCGGAAGGCTCTGGCTGTCAGAGGCTGGGCTGGGGCTGCTGTGGGAGGGCCTGGGAGGGGCCCTGGCTCTGCTGCTGCTGCCAGTCCCTCCCCAGCTGACTCCAGGTCTTTTCCTTTGCAGTACGAAGAGGATGAGCTGAGCTGCGAGCTGCTGGCCTTGGCCGCCCCGCAGCCTGCTGCTGACAGCCCCTCGGAGGCGGGGTGAGTTCTTCCCACCCGGAGGTCTGGGCACGGTGAGCCGGGTGGGACTGTCTTGTCATCCTGGACCCACATTTCTGAGACAGAAGCTAAGAAGACTAGGGTTGGGGTGGAAGGCGTGTTTCCTTGGGAAGCAGAGGTTCTGGGACCAGAAACGTGTGAGGTTGTGCCTGAAGGGTTCCTCCTTATTTCCCAAAAGCTCACCCGTCACTCCAGTCGCTGCAGAGACCCCTGACAAGCAGACGGAAGAGGGCGGAGTCCCGCAGGTGCGGCCACAGGGCTCTGACTCTGAGCTTGACAGGTAGGACGGAGATCTTGGGGGGTAGGGAGGAGGGGAGGCACTGAGGCCTGGGGAAACCCCGTGCTGGTGTCAGAGCCACGAGGTGAACTCGAGGAGTGATGGGTCAGCCCGAAGTGCCGTACTGGCTCAGCTCTCACCAGTCTCGCCCAGTATGAGACCAGCATGGAGGGCCTCTGCTTCCCTGTAGCCTTACCTCGTCAGTCATTCTTGAAGCTTCAGGGACTGAGAGTGAATTCTTATTTTTTATTATTTTACTTTATTATTTATTTTTGTTAATCCTCACCTGAGGGTATTTTTTTCATTGTTTTTAGGGAGAGTAGAAGAGAGAGGGAAAGAGAGAGAAACATTGATGTGAGAGGAACACATTGATTGGTTGCCTCCTACACAAGCCCTGACCAGGGCCCGGGCTGTGGTGGAGCCTGCAACCAAGGAGCGTGCCCTTGATCAGAATCAAACCCGGACCCCTTGGTCCACAGGCTGATGCTCTATCCACTGAGCCACACCATCCAGGGCTATTTTTTGTTTTTGAGAGTCAATGAGAAAAGAAGAGAGAGAGAGAACCATCAGTTCGTTTCTTCACTTATTTATGTACTCATTGGTTGCTTTATGTGCCCTGACGGGATCAAACCCACAACCGTGGCATGTCAGGATGTCGGGATGTCGGGACGACGCTCTAACCCGTTGGCTACCTGGTCAGGGCCTGGGACATGAATTTTGGTGACTCAGGAGCGTGTCCTGTTGGTGGAGGGTGCCCGGCCTCAGCTCTCAGGCTCGCCCTCCTGCCTGCTTTCTGCTCCTGGGTGACCCGCAGGCGCCTTGTGTCCGATTCCTCCACAGCGATGATGAGTTTGTTCCCTATGACATGTCGGGGGACCGAGAGCTGAAGAGTGGCAAGGCGCCCATGTACGTCCGGGACTGCGTGGAAGGTGGGTCTCTCCTCATGGGATGAAGGACCCAGCCCCGAGCACAGCCCTGCCCTGGGGTGGTTGGTCCATGGGACCTGTTCATGTTCTGGGGGTTCACCTGCCTTCTGCCCAGTGCCCAGGCCCTGGCTTCAGGCTCTGCCGTGGTCAAGGTCAGGGCCACGGAATGATGGAGGCTTGTTTGGGTTCAGCCCTGACCACGTCGGAGGACTGGGAGCGCTGGGAGGCAGCCCTGCGGGCCCTGGAGGGGCTGGTCTTCAGGAACCCGGCTGCCACTCGGGAGGTGAGCGGGTGGAAGGGCTGGGCTGTCGGGGTCATGGGAGTGAGCACTGTCCCGGGAGGAGCTTGTGCCCTCAGGGAACCTGTTTCGGCTCGTGTTGTGTGCTTCGCTGGCTCTCTGCCCCCTCAGGCGGCCTGTGTCTGGGGCCTCTGCTGGGATGGGAGGGGGAGAACAGAGTCCCAGGCTGTCCTAGACGTGTCCCTTCCATCGTAAAGAAAACGGAAGACTGTGGGGGCCGGGGCAGGGCCGGGGGCTGAAGGCGCCCTGACTGCTTGCAGGTGAGCGTGGAGCTGGCCCAGGTGCTCCTGCACCTGGAGGAGAAGACGAGCGTGGTGGGGTTCGAGGGGCTGCGCCAGAGGGCCCTGGTGGCCGTCACCACCACGGACCCGGCCCGGGTGAGTCCACTGGCTATGGGCGCCAGGGTTGTGCCCCCCCAGCTAGTGTCTGTGTTGGGGCCCTCCCTCTGGAATTGTGATCCATTGCGACCTCTCATCTGCCTGGCTCAGGTGGCGGAGTATCTGACCTCACAGTTCTACGCCGTCAACTACAGCCTCCGGCAGCGCATGGACATCCTGGACGTGAGTGCCCTGGGGCCCCTATCCCTCTTGTCAGGCCCAAGCTGCCCTCCCGGGAAGGACCGGGCCAGGGAGCTGGTGTTTGCCAAAATCTACGTGGGCAGAGCCAGAGGCCTCCTGAGTAACTTCACTAGACCGGAGCCTGTGACCAAGGAAGGGATTCTCACACCTGCTGCAGCGTGGCTGCGTTGGGGAGTAGTTTTGCTAAGTGAAATAAGCCAGGCACAGCGCAGATACTGGATGTTTCCACATCCATGAGATCCTAACGAGTTAAAATCTCAGAGTAAGTGGTGGGTGCCATGGGCTGAGGGAGGGCTGGGGTGTTAGTGTTGAATGGGGACAGAGGGTCATTTTGGGTGGAGGTGGATGGCGGTGATGGTTGCACAGCAACGTGCACGTGCTTAGTGTCACTGAACTGTGCACTTAACGCTGAGTAAGAGGCTGCATGCTATTAGAGCAGCGGTCGCCAATTGGTCTGTGAGATCTGAGAGGTCGGCAACAACACAAAAAATAACACTATTTTACTGTTTACAACTCAGTGGCACTTGGTCCATTTGTGTGCCTATCCCATCTGTCTGCTTTCCGAAAAGCTTGCATCACCCACAAGCACTTCCTCCCCTGTAACCACCAGTCCGCTCTTCTCTGTGGATTTGCCTGTTCCGGGTGCTTCCTATAAGGGAGGTCATGCTTGCGGCCACCTAGGTCTGGCTTCTCCCCCTCGTGTGTTTTCAGGGCCCACCCACATGTAGCCTTCGTTCGTTACCTTTTCCTGGGAGGCAGCGGTCAGGACCAGATGAGCTTTGGGAAGAGAAGTGGCCCATGGGAGGGGAGTGAAGGCTCTGGCTGGCCTCCAGGAGCACGCCCCCCCCCCTCCTGTCCCCCACAAAGCGAAGTGATTCTGAGATACTTGGAACTGACTTTCTACGGGGCTCCCTGAAGCTCCCCCTTGAAGACGTGGAGCTGCTGGAGCTGATGGGAAACTCGGTTTGCCTTGAGCTGGAAAGTGTCACCCTTCCCCAGAGCGACGGAGGCTGCCCGGGTCTCTCTCTCCCTTAGGTCCTGGCTCTGGCAGCCCAGGAGCTGTCTCGGCCCGGGCGCCTCGGGAGGACTTCCCAGTGTGGCTCCCCGGGCCCCACCTGCCCGCCCAGCTGCGCCGGGGCTCCCACCTGGCGGGCCGTGGTGGATGAGAGGATCCGAAGGAAGACCCGGCGATTTTCGAAGGTCAGCCGGGACCCGTGCCGGGACCTCGTGGGTGGGGACTGTGGGCAGGCTGGAGGCCCCGTCTGCAGGGACGAGGTGGCTCCAGTGCTGGCGTTCTCTGAAAGGAGAGTTTTGGGCACAAGCTGAGTGACGTGACATGCTGTAGGGCATCAAACTGAACTGGTTTTCAGATGCGAATGCAGAATTAGGTATGAAAAAGGGCCCAAGAATTCTGTCAGCAGAAATGGCTGTGTTGGGGATCTGCCTAGGCTAGGCTGACCTTGCCCCCCAGGGACATTTGGCAAAAAATGTCTGGAGACATTTTTTTAAAAATAAAATTTTTTGTTTATTTCCGAGAGGAAGGGCGAGGGGAGAGAGAGAGAGAAGCATCAGTGATGATAAGAACCACTGATCGGCTGCCTCCTGCACGCCCCCTACTGGGGATCGAACCTGCAACCCCGGGCATGTGCCCTTGACTGGAATTAAACCCAGGACCCTTCAGTCCGCAGACCAACGCTCTATCCACTGAGCCAGACCAGCTGGGGCTGGAGACATGCTTGGTTGTCATGGGGTTGGGTGCTACTAGCATCCCGCCCTTAGGGCCCAGGGAGGCTGCGTAGGCTCCCACGGCACCCGGGGCGGCCCCTCCATGAGAGGGTTCTGCTCGGGGAGGGGAGGCTGTGCTCCACACCCATGTGCTCCTGTGTGATTGGCAGGGCTCTCCCAGGAAGGGGCTAGCTGGCAGCCCCAATGAATTCAACGCAGTGGCTGGCTACTTCTTCTTCCCCCTCATCCAGGGTTTTGACAGGTGAGTGGGAAGCCCGTGGTTTGGGGAACGAGCCCTGGATACCTGTGAGGACAGGCGGCTTCCGGGGTGGGGCCTGAGGTGGGGCTTAGGCAGCAGCAGGATCAGGACTTTGGCTGTGGCTGTTCGGAGCTTAATGACGTGGCAAGGGCATCAGGCGTCACATCTTCTGTCACAGAGGTCGGGTTTGTGGTGGGGCCGGAGCCTTGCTGTGCTGCCTCGATGCTGCAAGTGCTCTGCCCACGTCCAGCCTCGGCCTGAGTGGGCTAGAGCGCCCCCTGGGCCACCACCACGCGTGGTGTGATCCTCTGGCGATGGTGGGAAGGGCCCAGGACTGGAGCCCTTTCCTTCCGGTGCACGGCCCCTCTGTCCTGACCTGGGCCGGGGCTTGTGCCAGGCGGCCTCGCGGGGTGACTGGGTGTGTGGTATGGTGGGTGGGTATGGCTCCGGGTGCCGCATGGGGCAGGCGGTGAGGAGCAGCGTCCAGGGGGCAGGGATGTCCATTGGCCCAGGCGGTTGGGAAGTTGGCCGAGTGTTTGACCTGCGCCATTCACCTCACTCTGCGTTGCAGGCCTCTGGTGACCTTCGACCTTTTGGGGGATGACCAGTTGGTCCTCGGGAGACTGGCCCACACCTTAGGGGCCCTGATGTACCTGGCTGTGAACACCACGGTGAGCTGGGCGATGGCAGCGGACGGCCCCCACCGTGCGCAGTGTGCGCCGATGCATTTGTTCTTCCCGTGGCCCACGCCGTGGCCCTAGGGACGGGAGTGTTTGGACCTGAGGAGGTGTCCAAGGTGGGGACTGCTGGGTGCCAGGACTCATGCCCGTTGGCCTCTGCCGTTTCAGGTGGCTGTGTCCATGGGCAAGGCTCTGCTGGAGTTCGTGTGGGCCCTTCGCTTCCATGGTGACGCGTGAGTGGGACCGAGGGACCGAGGGCAGTGGCCCCACGTGGACACGGGTGGGCTCTGAATCCTAGAGAGTGGACATTGGGAGCCTGAGGGCGGCTCCTGGGTGTGGCGGTGAGGCAGCGTGGCCCTGCAGTGAGGAGGGGGCTAGGTAGGGCCAGGCGTGCTTTGTGGCCGGCGTGGCTGCCGTGCTCGGAGGAAAATCGGGGTCTCCCTGGCTAGCCTGTGGCTCCATCGGGGCTCAGCCCTCACCTTGCTCAGCAGCTACGTGCGCCGGGGCCTGCTGTCTGCCGTCTCCTCCGTCCTCCTTAGCGTCCCGGCTGAGCGGCTGCTGGAAGACCTACCGGATGAGCTGCTGGAGGCCCGGGCGTGGCTGGCAGGTGAGCGCGGGGCCCCAGGCTGCAGTGCAGGGTGGGCGGGAGGCCAGGGCAGCCGGGGACATCGTGGGATTCCGAGCTGAGCGAGCCCCCGTCCACCGCCGTGAGTGTGTCCCTCCTTGTCTGCACTACAGGTGTCCCCCAGGGTGGGGACCGGAACGTGGCCATGGATGGGGGTCACTTTGGGGAGTCCTGAAGGGTACCTGAGAGAAGGTGCCCTGATGTGGGAGATGGCATCTGTGTTCATTCTGGAAAATTCTAACTCAGGTTATAAGACTCATACCGTGAGCACTATGTACCCTCTCTAGATTCACTGATTATTAGTGCTTTGACTTATTGTGGCCCCATCCTCCTTACCTACGTGGTCTTTTTAAGAAGTCTGTTGTGTACGTGCCTGGCAGGGGCGATAACATGATCACAAAGGTGGTTTTCCCAGGGCGAGGCTTACCCATTGCACTCCGGCGTGCTGACCCCTGTGATTTCCCCGAATGTGGGAAACTCAACTGCATAATTCGTGGCGGTGGGTAATTTGTGACGTGTATAACTCCCACCCGTAGCCAGCTGAGCCGGCCTCAGCCCACCAACTTCTACCCTCAGGGCTCGGGGTGGACTGGGACTGGACCATTTAGTCTGTGGCCACACTTGAAGGCCCAGTGATGCAAGGACGGCCTTTTTCCTTCTGCCAGCTCCCAGGTCCGGCCCTGGGTCCCGGCTGCCCTGCATCCCCAGCTCCTCCAGTCCACTGTCCCGTGTCTTTGTCCTGTTGGTCGGTGTGCAGAGCCCGTGTGTTTCTCTGATTGTCTCATGTTACGTGTCTGCGTGGTTCTGGGCGATGCCGGGGCTTTCTCTGGGTCTCGTGCTGCAGGCGCGTGGCATCCAGCGTCCCTCGCCCATTGTCTTGGGTGCAGGCTCCTCCCCTGGGGTGAGTGCTGCCTCCTTGGAGTGGCTGTGTGGAGGGGGTGTGTTTATCCTCCCCGCTGCCTCCCCACCTCCTGGAGTTCCCAGCCCGGGTGGAGGGGGGCACTGCTCCTGCTCAGGGACCCAGGCAGGGCCCTTGGTGGCATCTAAGGTGCTGCCCTCACCGGGGACCTCAGCAAAGGGTCGGGTGCCAGGGGCCCGAAGCCCAGGGCAGGGGCCTCCTTCAGGAAGACTTAATGAAACAGCCGAAGAGGGCTGGCTGCTCGGCACCGTGCACTGCTGTGCTCTGTGGTTTCCCTCTGGCAGACGTGGCTGAGAAGGACCCGGATGACGACTGCAGAATGCTGGCCGTGAAGGCACTGCTGCTGCTGGAGAAACTCAGAGACAAGCTCCTCCCACTGGCTCCCCCTTAGCCCCGGGGCACCATCGCCACCAGAAGGAGGAAGGCCAGGAGGCTGAGCACAGGCCCGAGGAGCCAGGCTGACGTGTGGACTCGGTGGTGCAGCCACACGTGGGATGGCTGTCCGCCTGGTCCTGAGCGTGCAGGCAGGAGGCCCCGCCTGGGCTGCCGTTCATAGCCCAGAAGGTCTGCGTGCTCAGAAGTCCGGCCAGGGCCTCTGAATACTGCCCCGACGACAGCACCCTGAACCCGGGCGGGGGGCTCCTGAGGAGCCGGCTCTGCAGGCGGCGGCAGGGGAGGAGGGGAGGGTGCTGAGAAGGACCTGGGTATGCTCCGGTGGGAGCTGCCAAGATGGGCAGAGCAGCGGGCTGCTGAGCCTTGTGAGCTTCTTGGCATTGTATCCTCAACCTCCCTCCTCACCTAAGGCAGGTGATGTTAAAAAACAACAACAGAGAAGAATAAAAAGGAGCTACAAGTGTTCAAACCCACGCTTTGTGGTTCTCATTGCTCGGAGAGGGACCTCTGTGCCCACACAAGCCCTCTGCAGGGGAGAATGAAAACGTGGGGCAGGACGGGGACACACGCCTCTGAGGAAATAAACTTTATTAGGAGATTCAGCGGCCGGTGGGTGGAGGCCGGGGTCCCCCTCGCCTCAAGATGTCATGGTGCCAGCTCCTCTCGCACAATGGGAGCTGGTGCCAGGGCACAGGCTGCCTGACAGAGAACCACCCGCTGGCCCACGCTGTGTCTGCTCAGGATGGTCCTGTGGTCAGGACTGTGTGTCTCTTGCTGGAAACTGTTGGGTGCATGTCCAGCAGCCTTCTTGGGTGCTGGGAGGAGGCACAGTGAATATACTAACATCTTCAGTTTGCAAAGTTCTAGAAGTTTCCTAGGCTTCATAATCTGTGCTTGGAGAATGCCACGGGAAAAAATGAACCAACTCCCTCAATAGTAAAGGGGCTAAACCAAAATTCCAAAGAACCAGAAACATGGCTTAGAATTGCACACTTGCCTTCTAAGCAGGCGGCCTGGGCCCTGGGCCCTCCAGCTATGCACTCAAACACAAACAGTTTTTTCAAAAAGACTGGCTCTTGCTGCTGTTGGTAACCGGGAAGTTCCAGAAGAGCTGTCGCAGCAGCAGCCCCTCAGGGGTCGTTCTCGACCTCCTCCATCACCTCCTCGTCCACCTCCTTGGGGTCCTCCATGCTGCTGTGGTGGAGCCGCTCGGGCACGATGCGCGCCAGGGGGATGCCCAGGCCCTGGTGCACGGCGTCCACGGTCCGCTGGTTCACGTAGTAGGACACTTTGGCGGGCGGGAGCCTCCTCCGCATCTCCTCCAGGTACTTGTAGGCCTGCGTCACACAGAACAGCCATAACTGGGTTAGTTCACATCAGGACCAAGGCCCACTCCCTTCTCGACCCCGGAGGTCAGAGGAAAGCTGTCCCTGTTTCTGGAGGGAGTGGTGGTTTCTGGGGACAGCCCGCACGGGCTCTGAGGCCGGCGCTGTAAGCTGTGAAAAGCACAACCAGCTGAGCAGGTGCACTGGGAGCAAGCGTCTGTGTGTGTTCTGGGACCATGCTCCTTTTAGGATCTGTAACACACCCAGGGAGACTGAAGGAAGGATGGGTTCACACTTCCATCTTTTTCATGTATGTTGGGGCATATGCGAGTCTGGTCAGTTTGGCTCAGTGAATAGGACACTGGTCTGTGGACTGAAGGGCCCAATGTTTGATTTCAGACAAGGACACATGCCTGGGTTGCAGGCTCGATCCCCAGTTAGGGGGCATGCAGGAGGCAGCCGATCAATGGTTCTCTCTCATCATTGATGTTTCTGTCTCCTCTCTGAAATCAATAAAACTATTAATTAAAAAAAAGAAGTGCCTGCACTGAGAAGGGAAGGAAGCAGAGCTGATGAGGGAAGAGCTAGGTGGTCAGAAAGGACCCAGCGGTGTAACTGCTTGGTCTCAGAGCTGATTTCTTCAATAAAGGCGGGAGAAGAGTTTCTAGAAAGAAGACATGGAATCAGCGGCGGGCTGTCGGATTCAAACCGGGATCGTTCCGCTTGTGGTCGGCTGGTTGCAGTCGAGTCGCTTCCTTGGCTGGACGCGGACGCCTGTTCCTCCCGCTCCTCCCGCCCCGTGGTCAGGGCCCTCCGCGCTGCTCCGCCGCTGGCAGGATGGCCCACAAGCAGATCTACTACTCAGACAAGTACTTCGACGAGCACTACGAGTACCGGCATGTCATGTTACCCAGAGAACTTTCCAAACAAGAACCCAAAGCCCATCTGATGTCAGAAGAGGAGTAGAGGAGACTTGGTGTCCAACAGAGTCTTGGCTGGGTTCATTACGTGATTCATGAGCCAGAACCACATATTCTTCTCTTTCGACGACCTCTTCCAAAAGATCAACAAAATGAAGATATTGGGGATCGTTAATTAAATCTTTTTCAAATTTAATGTATATGTGTATATAAGTAGTATTTGGTGAATACTTGAAAATGTATAAATCATTCATCCATACCTGTGCATGAGCTGTATTCTTCACAGCAACAGAGCTCAGTTAAATGCAACTACAAGTAGGTTACTGTAGGGTGTTTAAAGATAAAATTTCTCCTACTTACTTTTTCTGTTAAATATAAGTGCCTGTTTGACTTTACCTGTTACTTTTGTTTAATAAAGTTTGTATGTTGCATTTATAAAAAAAAAAAAATAGAAGACAGATGAAGGACAACACATCTGACCCCTGAGGATGTTACTGTCCAACTGTCAGGACCTGACTCTCAACAGGCAGTGCGAACTGGGTGGGCGGGAAGAAAATGAACCCTACTGGGGATGGAGCCTGCAACCAGGCATGTGTCCTTGACTGAAATCAAACCTTGGGCCCTTCAGTCCACAGTCCTATTCACTGAGCCAAACTGGCCAGACTCACATATGCCCCAACATATATGAAGAAGATGGAAATGTGAACCATCCTCCCTTCAGTCTCCCTGGGTGTGTAAGAAGTTGGGGTGGGTGGGGGGAGACACACTGATTAGTTGCCTTCCACATGCAGCACGATTGGGGCGGGGAATGGAGGGCAGAGGATGCAGTGGTCTGAGCATCTTCACAGTCTAATTTTATCTCTATTTCATTTTTTTTCTCCTTGTCGAGATTAGATTTAGAGTTGTTTTCTCCCAACAAAAACATGAGTGAGTGGACATGGTGAGGGGCAAAGAGGAAATAAGTGCTCAGATTAGGAAATCCGGGTTTCATGGTGCTGACCTTTCTCACTGCAGGGAGCTGCTGCTGAATTCTGGAAATTTCCTGTGAATTCTGGATCCCTGAGCCTAAGGAGGCTGGCATAGGTCACTAGCAATATTTCTGAAACTAACTTGTCAATACTCAGTTTGTGAGACTAAGGAAGGGGAAGCGAGAGATTCCTTGGGACCACTGTAGTCTCACCAGAAAAACGGTCTGCTTGCAGCTAGTTAATGCAGTGGGTGGTTGAAGGAGATGTGGCAGGCAGAGCAAAATCTGTATGACACCCTTTGGAATACAAAGGAAACATGCGTCCAGGAATAACTGTCGTGTTGGCTATCAGAGGATTATGATGGAAAAGAATGAGGAGAAAAGCTTCCGGTAATGGCAGAGTAATTCATGTCAGACCAACCTTCCCACACACAAAAATAACTTAAAGGGCCCTGGGAACAGCCTCGGCAGGAAGACGGAATTGACAGGTGGAAGTCAGAGGAGCAGGAGGCGAGTTTCCACCTAATTGTAACTTGTGCCACATGCGAGGCCCCAGCCAGGGCTGCTGTGAGAAGCTAAAAGTCACATAGAAAAAAAAAAAAGGCACATAGAAACCCATACCCTTAACCCAGACTGGCTTAAAAACCAGCATCAGAATTGGGTCAAGTCGAACAGCTGGAATGCGAGGAAATGCTGGAAAGGAGAGTCACTGAGGGGGAGCTCACATTCTGAGTGTGAACTCCATCCACCCGGCTCTCTGTCGGACTCTGCACTCTGAGTATTGGGGACGGGGGGACGGGGGCAGACTTCAAGGAGCCGGACCAGAGCTCAAGTATTGAGCAGAGATTCTAGCAGCTGCCCAGTGTGGGGGAGAGTTAGACTCTGAGCTGAGCAAAGATGATTACAGAAAGGAAGGAAGGGAGGGAGGGAAAGGAACAAACAGAAAATATTCTTTGGAGGAACATAATGGAATCCAGATGAGTCCACGGACATCACCATAAACTGCTGAGAACAAAATGTAAAACGAAAACCCGAGGGAGTGAGGAGGGGGAGAGACAAAGCGAGCACGCATGCTCCAGACCTGCCGAGGCTCCTTCTGAGTCTTCATCTGAGTAATGACCAGCGCATGTGTGTGAGGACAGCACAGGGCCAGAAAGGAGCGGGAGGAAATCCCGGAGACCGAGCACAGAGGCCGATAGTTCACACTCCGCCAGCCAGGCGGGGAGCCTGCCAGCCCTGGGCACCGAGAGTTCTCAGGAGGGCACTGCCTCGGCGATGCGATGAAATCGGCCCTAGACTCACAGCTGGCAGGCCATGTGTCTGATCAAGGAAATGTATCGAGAACTTACAAAGACCACAGTCAACAATAAGACAAACACCCACATAAAATGATCTGAACAGTCACAGGAGGAGGTATGCAGACAGCCAGTGAGTCACTTAGTCATGAAGACATTAAAACCACAATGAGACTCCACCGCCTGCCCACCAGGATGGCGGAAAGAGCAGAGGCTGACCATGCCAAATGCTGGTGAAGATGAGGAAACAGGCTGGCGTGGGCTGTGAGCGGAGTTTGTTATTTGCATGGAACATCATTCTTATTTGTAAAAATGACCGAGAGATAAACTGTGGCCGTTCAGACTTGGTTATGTGCCAGATATGTTTTCAAAAATGAACTGTCACTTTAAAGAAAATAGTAACCGACGGTATTTTTTGCCAAAGATAAAATGTGAGGTTTCAAACGAAGTTAGAATCTCAGGGCACCACGAGCTGGAGATTTTCCCAGTAC